TTGAAATACATCTGAACTCTCTTTAAAAAGAAGCCACTTTTTGACACAACTGTAATACAGCAAAGACTCAACAATTAATTTTAAACCTTTGTCTGTATAAAATAAAACTCATGAGAAACATGGTTGTCTCTTTCTATGTAACAGAATTGGTGACAAATGCAGAGGGGAAGTGCCTGAAAAAGCTTTAAAAAAAAAAAAAAAATTGGAATAACATTCATTTGGAGAGGAAGCAAAGAGAAGGACATGTGTCATCACTTCTGGAGGAAGAGAGGACATCTGACCTCTGGGAGAGGAAGTAAAAAACGGATACTGACAATATGAACAAGATGGGGAAAAAAAATGAAGGAGAAAGAAAACTAACAAAAAAAGTATAGAAAAAAAGATAATGGCATATAAGAGGAGGGGAAATGAGAGATTTGTATTTTTAATTTTGACTTCCAAAAATGTTGCCAAGTCTCAAACAGACTGAACCTTCTTAACCTATATCACCACCTTAAAAAATAAAATAAAAAATCAGATAATCAAACACTGAAGGATGAGGCCACAGTGGACAAACACAAATTCAGAAGAGTCAGTTATGTAACTGAGGCTGTCGAGGTTACGACTGAGATATGCACCAAATCCCACTTCAGTGCTACAAGTCTAGCCACATATGCAACAGAATCCGGACAGCAGCAGGAGTATTGATCAAGAATCCTCATACTCAGAAAGACTCTAACTTTAAAGACACTAGCAGCCAAACAAATCAACCACCTCTCAAATTTTATCGCCAATGCACTTATCTGAATGAGTTTCTTTGCAGCATCTGATTCAACATGAGCAAAAAAATCAGACTACAGGTAAATGTTTGTCCTCCTGCCAGACAAGACAAAGTTAAACACTGACAGTTGAAATGTTCTCAAACATAGTTAGAAGGTGAGAACAGAGAGGGATCGAGAATGAGTAAAAGTTAGAGCGTGAGAGAGCAAACATCGCCAGTGAGCGAGCAGCAAACAGTAGGTGGACTCACAGATCCGAACTGGTAAGTTTCTCATTCCACTCGCCCAGTTTCTTAGTGGTTCTCACATAGCTAGAAACACAGACATGAGGATACGTAGAGTTTTAGCGAGGACTCAAAGCAGGCTGGCTTCAAGAGGAGGCCAAGGTTAGAAAATCCCAAAAGAATCTCTGAAGAGAGGTTATATCATTAGTAAAGGTCAAAGTAAGGACTACATGTACACGAAGTCACAGTGGGATTGTTTTCTAAGTGTGTGTTCTCTGAGGGAAGAGTTAGCATCTCATCTTCTGCACAGCGAAACAAGTACAAATCAAGTTTACACAACAGCACCGCAAAATTATTCAGGGCTGACTTCAGGGGAGAACCTACTCCCGGATCAGTACTGAAAGAACTGCTGTGCAATGTCTTTTGGCTAAAATCAAGAGATGACAAGCGCCATTTTTTTTCTGTCCTCTCAATATCCTCGTCAGGTAGCAGCCTTCTCCTCTCTAACATCGCCATCAAAAACATAGTATTTTACCATAAAGGCTAAAATAACAAGGTGGCGCAGATGGTTAGCATCATTGCCTCGCAGCAAGAAGGTCACTGGTTTGCGTCCTGGTGAGGACACCTGGGATCTTTCTGCATGGATTTTGCATGTTCTCCCCGTGCAGTGTGGGTTCTCTCCGGGTTCTCCGGCTTCCTCCCACACAGTCCAAAAACATGTTGAGGTTAATTGGTGATTCTAAATTGTCTGTAGGTGTGAATGTGAGTGTGCTTGGTTGTCTGTCTCTATGTTTAGCCCTGCAGTATACTCGTGACCTGTCCAGGGTGTCTCCTGCCTTCACTCTAAGTCAGCTGGGATAGGCGACCTGAGTGAGGATTGAACGGTGTATAGATAATGTATGGATAATGGATAATGAATAAAATAACACTTCTACTTCCTACATGCTCATGGCACTAGAGTTACATCCAGTTACTACTTTTTGTTGTTGTTCTGGTGCACACAGTCACAGTGCAGTTGAAGCTATTGGATCAGACACCGCAATGGAAACAGAGATTGAAAAGTGGGGTGCGCCAGTCGCTCAACTGGTTGAGCAAGGTGCCCCATGAACAAGGGCTATTAGTCCCCATCGCATGATCTGCTGCATGTCGGTCCCCCTCCTTTCTCCCGACCGTTCCTGTCTCTCCTTGACTGTACTTAGAAAAGAAGAAAAAGGCAAAAATGCCCCAAAACATACAAAACCCCAAAAATGGCAAAAAGGGCTGACTACAGGGCCGTTCCTGGAAATGTTTGTGCTACTTTGCATGTTCCTGCAGTGGGATGATGCCGAAGGATTCATCAAGGACGACACACTGGTGCTCTAAATGGAGCAATCTCTTCTCTCCTTTGCCTTGCAGAAAGAATATTTGTGTCCTCCAGCTACAACAGCAGCCACGACATAAAAATTACAAATGCATAAATTAATGCACAAATTTCATGCTGATAACATGTTTATAAGCTGGATCTTTTACAGCATTTTATACTCAGAATATTTAAGATACTGGAGCATATGAGGTAAAGTTGACTGGAAATGTTGCAGGTCAAGACCTGTATTCTGATAAATGCTGGGTCCAGCTATTCTTGTAATTTCCAGGGTAATATTTTGTATATTACATAGTGATATTTTAACTATGATATCAAATAGTCAATTTACCTTATGAATGGGCTTTAGGAGCTGCATACCATTACTCAAGATTTCATTTAAAATAGCATCGATGTCTGCGATATATAGTATATGTTGACAAATATTCCTTAAATATGAAGGGAGTTTGTTTGCCAGAGTCAGCATTATTGAAGGGTCGGAAAAACCTGTTTAATCTACCTTTATATTCAGTGAAGTACATATTAAGAGTATAAGACCATCAAATGAAATATGCTGCATACTTGTTTCCCACATTGGGAAAATAAAAAAGATAGCTTCATTCATTAATCCCTGCAGACAGATACATGATGTTATCTTCAAAATGAAACACAGCTATGATCTCCTTTTACTGGAAAATTAAATTAAAAGTTGCAGCAGAGGAGTTTGTTCAATGCTCATTAGGATTCTCCAAACCACTTTGCCGTCTTGCTGAGGTTAATAATTGCGGCTGATCATTTAATCGTGTGTAATTAGATTTTAGAATTTCTTAGACTAAAATCAACTGGAAAAAACACGATGGTGTTACGCTTATTTTTAAACAGAACAGCTGCTATTTGATACAAGTTTTACCCCAAGCTGAAAGCTGACAATTATTTGTTACCAAACTGCAACAGGCCTGATTAAAAAAAAAGAAAGCTTGAAGTCAGTAGCTTTTCATAATATGATTATTTAATCTGATAACAGCACCTTTACCTCTGCTGAAAGAGCCTGCTTTTGTTCATCCTGCATAATACTGTATAAACCTGAGCAAAATATAGCCTAAAGACTTCAGAAGCCTCGATGTGCCACACGATGAGTCATTTTGTGACTAACTCTGATAACGCTGTTACTATCAGAGAATGTCTGCAGGGAGTGCTGATTCATCTTAATGAACTTTTTGAATATTGTAAAAAAATAAATAAATAAATAAAAATCTATGAAGGTTTTCTGCCCATATCATCAGCTATAAAGATGTAGATGCTGCTGAACTGCACTGTAAAACTAAGGTACCTTGTTGTTTTGACCAATATAAAATAACACTTCTAGCCTTTAACAGCTCCAGCTTTGACTGGCTCAGATTGTGGGCTGTAGTGTCTAGAAAGACTTATCAATTAGTTGGTTGTTGTGCTCCCATCCAATCAAATTCTCATTGGTCAATTGTTATTAGGAGAAAAGCGCTACATCAGCAGCCTTACAGGGATAATCTATCATTTTTGGGGGAGGGAGCAACAAACTACCTGCAAACACCCCTGTGTTTTCACAACACTAAATTAATCTAACCTTTTTTAACATTTCCTGAACGTTTCCTCTGTATCAGCTCCAAAGTAACTGACGCCAAGTCAAAGAGGCTGTTGGTGGTGGCAGCATTTTGTTCAAACGGATGGCCAAAATGTCCAATCTAAACTTTGCAAACAGCAGTTTGTATATCACAGCTGAATAAGCAACATGGCAGATCATCTAAAAACAGCAGGATAACTTCTATGCTTTATATTCCTCAATAGCTTTTGCGCCAGAATCACCAGCTGATATATTTCTGTTTACAGAGAACATATGAATATGGGCAGGTGCATAGTGGTCTGCTTCAAATCTGTTGCTAATAACCAGGTTAAAATTGTGTAATTCGCCAAAACCACTAACTTTTCATGTTGATTTAGAATGAATTTAGCATAATGAGGCCAGTAGGTAGAATGTACTCAGTGCACTGTGGTCTATTTAGTTCATCTGAAGTTATTGTACAAACTTTCTTCCCCTGTGACCAATCAACTGGTTTAAGAGCAGTAGCAGTACTCCTGTTGTTCAGACATTCAGGCCATAGAAAACTACGGTTGCACCCCCTAAAAAGGTCAAATATATCAAGCAAAAACCCTTTTCTGGCTGGTCACATAGCTGCAAGTTAAAACAATTCTACTGTTAACTTTGCTAGAAGTACCATTAAAGGCTGTGCTGTGTTTTGGCAAGCCTTCAGATTTAATTAAAAAAAAGACATTTCTTAGAAAGTATTTCATCTTCTCATCAGATCCAGAGGCAACATTCTGAGACAAAGCAGCACTGTTTTCAGTCAGAACAGACTGTAAAATGTATAGGAACAGTCGCTGTCAAATGATAACAAAATAATGATTTTATCTTAGCTAGTGCTGCCAACTAGATGTGCAAAGCCAAGCGTAGAACTTCTAGTGTGACAAAACATAACTTTATGAGCATTCATTTTGTCTAAGTTGAACTTTTTAGACCACTGCAAGGGTAGACAAGAAAAGTCCAACAACTCTCCTAAGACAGCATCACATCTGAAGGAACAATTAAGAGTAAATTTCTGTTGATCAAAAACTGTGATTGAACTATCCAGTTTGACTAATACATACGCATTGGAGGTTTGTACGTCTTGCCAGCTCTTGGTGAGGTTCTGTCTGAGTTCGATGAGTGGGCTGAGGCCGAGTTTCCTTTTCAGCTCTGTGGCATGTCTCTCTTTGGCTGACAAAACCTGACGCAGGGTGTTGATCTCCTCCTCCACCTGAAACATATCGCAAAGAGTTTTTTTGTTTTCATATCAGATGCTCCGTTAAACTTGAGCTCTTTTCTTTTCAAGATTCCCAAAAGTGAAATCTCACTAATAAATGAGGTATGTGTGTGTCCTTCCTACATTTTTTTTTTCAACAACAGTTAATCTGATCTTCTTCACATTTGGCAGGTGTATTATCACAAAACAAAAAAGTGGTTTGTACACTGTGCACAGTGTTGATGGCAGACCCCAGCAGCATCAATGCAGTAGAGAAAACACACAGGAGCTATTTCTAGAAGACACATCGTCAGGGAAGGTCAGACCACCACAAGTATTGTCTGCTGATTAATAGGGAAAGCTTTTTTAGTATCTTTGGTCCTTGCAGCTGCTAAACACACTCATAAACGTCAAAACTTAAAAACAACAACAACAACAACAACAACAACAACAAAATGAACAATTTGACTTTGGAGGACAACTAATTGTTTAGATTAAAATCGGTGAAACAATCCATAGATTCATCGATAGAAAAATAATCTAGTGGCAGCATTTATGTAAACACCTGGGGATTTTGAAGCGTGGGCCTTACCTTGGTGAGCTCAGTGCGGAGCTCCTCAGCCTCCTCCTCCGTCAGGCCCGGGGGAAGAGGGTTGGCCGAGTTCCCCACTGCTCCCTCCACCGGCACATCTGACAGGCTGTCTGAACGATCGACTCCAAGGCCCTTGTTAGGAGAGTTCAGGTTGATATCTGGGATGGGAGGTGAAAAAAGGGGAGAGACAAGAAGATGTTATTGAGAGAGGGAAATAGAGAGGCAGCAGAAGGGTAAACAAACACACACCAAAGTGTTAAAAGCCAAGAGTGGTTTAGTGAGATGATCTCTCTCAGTATCTATTTCACACAAACACCAAGGCCAGGAAGAGGCTCGCAGGAGAAATCCAACAGGAAGCGAAAGTGGCAATTAGCAGAGTAACTTGAGATCCTTCTGTCCAACAGCCATTAAACCTCTCACTTTGAAAACAGAAGCTCTGGGGCAAACAGGACCACAAGTAATGAATATGAACAAAAGAAGTTAAAAAAAAAAAAAAAGCTATTTAAAAATATAACAATACACTGGAAACTAAATGATCTATTCTTTAACCGTTGCAAACCTTAATTTATCCAGAGAGAGTTGACTGCACAAAATTTCCCGTTCAAACACATAAAAATCTGCAACCCTCAGCATTTCTATGACAATGAGGTTATGTAGTATCCGTCACTTGAGGACAGCAGCATCGTTTTGGCAGCTTGGCACAGTCAGAGGTGGCTTGGAGGACAACAGAACTCAAGAAGGGATAGAGAAAAAAAAAACTGAAGCCACTACTTGAAACTGTGAGTACAAATATAGTTTGTGTGGTAATGTTCACGACAATATGTGATCAGTGGAAGAACTGCTTATTGAGACTAAACGCAAACCTTACATTGCTTCAAATACACCCACTTCCAAGCCAGTGAACCAGCAACGGTTTTCATAAAAGGGGCTCCAGTGATTCGTGGAACAGAATTATTTCAGCTCACTTTTAACTTCTTATACTGAAATTTGACATTTTTTAAACATGAAAGAAGATTGTGTAACACTGACTTTGAATAACCCATTTTCAATGAAGACCAAGACCAAAATTTCTTCTATACAGGAGAAACCATGACCATGTCTGCACAACGGATTGTTGAGCAGGGCAAACACGTGATGGTGTTGCAGCAGACCGAGGCTTAAAACTATTTGCAGGTAGTGCCGGAGACGCTCTGCGATCCAGAGTTTTCCCAATAACATCCATACACAAGCTGGCGTGAGATGTGGCGGCTCCACCCTCAAGGTATATTGATTTAGTCAAGACTGATTCAAATCCGCCCACAGAAGGAACAGCAGCAAGGTTAAAAAGAGACAACGCATAAGAACAGAAAACAGGAGGATGGAAAACGTAACTTCTTCCAATGGTTTACAAGAAAAATGCCATTACAAATATTCTTTGATAAGTTTGGCTGTCGAATTTTTTAAATGTAATTTCACCCTCAGTTTTCAGCTCAAGTGATTGCCTTTGTGTCAGTTCAAACTCTGCTACTTAGTTGCACACAGGGGTCATACTTTGCTTTCATTTCGCTCGTTTACTAGTGTTGTAACTAGTTTGCAAACTGGGACATGTGCTGTATGTGATCACAACCACACCCTTCACTCAAAGCCCAACCTTGCTGTGGCATTATATTCTGGCTTATATATTTTAAGGCTGATAAAGACGCATTAATTGATCTTCTAGGAGGACCTTGTATAATGGTTAAATGTTTGTACAAAATGACAGCTCTACAAAAAAGGTACTTTGATTCTGACTCACACCAAACCTGGCATTTACTGAAGTGTCTCTTCTCTTAACTGTGTGCTGCTGATTATGCACATCAAAATAAAACCAAACATTATGGATCCAAAAAAAAGAGCATCTGTTGTTGTTATTCGCTTAGGATGTTGTTTTGCTTTATAAGACAAAGACTGTGTCATATAGGAACGCTTCAGTCACTAAAGGTCCCTGGCTCAGTCAACCGTCCTACTCTCAGGTTTCAAAGCATCATTTAGAAAACAGCATCAGGGTGTAATGAGACAGACATGTCCTAGTTCACTCAGGTTTGCTAAGACAGACAAATGTAGGCAACCTTAATCACATCCTAAAAGCCCTCATTGTGAGGCACAGGCAGCCTGATACAAAACGGCATATCTATCATGGTCACTAACAATTATAAATGATGGGATAAAGATCAGGCAGAGTCATTCAAGGCATTTGCAGCAAGAATAGCCTGGAGGAACAGAAAGTAAAACTAAAATTGTTATATGTAACTAGACATTTCTGCTGCTAATGGTTATTCTAACATTGTCACAAAGCTTCAATCCTCCCTTTTATTGCTTTAAATCTGCACCACAGACAAACTATAGAATTCCTGATAAGTGTCTTACCCAAGTAATCACAGATATTGCTGACCTACACAATAGTTCAAATGCTGTGTAAGAGCATCAACAAAGCACCTTCTGTTGTCACATTATGATAAGGTTCTGACTTTTAGGGTTTGTTATTTACAGCAACAGAAGTGTGTCTATGATAAATTTATAGATTTAGTTATTTTATCTAAACACTTTCTCAACTGAATTTTAGGCAAAACTCCTACGTTACAATAGAACTTTAATAAGAAAAAAGAAAGCCAAAGTGGTCACTCACAGTTTAGTCTACTATTCTATTTTTCTAAACACCTAAAGTATCAACTGTCCATCTGACAATAGCAAACAAATGTCACATAGTGATAAAGCAGAAACAACAGCATCTGTCTGGTGCATTTTTTTCCTTTTTAACCGCCAAGATATGAGATATCACAAACAGTTCACTGGTCAGTTTAGTATAGACGTAAAGATCTTTAAGTCATTTTTGTTATCCAATCAGGCTTTTAAGTAGTGTTTTATAACTTTAGTGTTTAGAATTATTTTCTTTGTATCATTATATTGTATTTATATAACATTTTGTGATAACATTTATTGGAATATGATCAATTTATTTTGTGCATTATTTCTTTTTTTTTTTTTTACAACCTTTGTTTTTTTCCATCTTAACTAGCTATCAAATATTTTATCTTATTCCATTAATTTGGTGTGAATTAGCAATTAAATCTATTTTGGCCCTCCTATGTTTCGTCAGTTACTTGTAAAGCATGTTGCACTGCATCTGATTTGGTTGTAAAGTGCTTTAAAGTAAGTTTGGCTGTGATCTACTGACAATGACAATGCTGAAGCAACAGCTGGCATGCTAGCATGTTGTCATCCATGCTCAGTTAGTCAGCAAATCAGAATTCTGTTACTGATTAAAATGAGATTACTATTTACTAGACTGAAAAGTGCATTCAGGTAAATAAAAGACTAAACTGGGGTTGCATTTAGGGCAGGGGTGGAGCTAATGTGTGGCCACATCCAACACAGACTGAAGTCTGTCCACCCCACACAAGCAATACTGAAGCCTTTTCGAGAGGCTATACACATACTTCTAGGACTAGACTTCTATCCAATAACTATACATATAGATAGATAGATCGATAGATAGATAGGTAGATAGATAGATAAATAGTTTTTGCAAAATCACTTCTTTACGGCCATTGTTCCCCACTCAACCACATACAACCAAGTAGTTCTGATCAAACGGAAAAGGTTTACACAGATTTGTAGCAATTCAAAGATTACATACCATTGTCAATGAAAAGTGTTAAGGCAGCTAATTTAGGTTTAGGGTTTAGGATTTAGTTAAAACTCTTGTACAGACTTTTTCATTCTATAAAAGCTGTGAAAACAGTTGACACAAGCTACCAAACAATGTAATATTGATGCAGAACCTGCAGTTAATAGATAGAAACAAAAGCAGGCTGTTATCCTTTGTAATCTAAATTATTTAAGTCATCCAATGAGCTTTGCAAACAACTCAAAATGCCTTACTTTACCAAAAGCTTCCAGATTTGTAATCAACTGAGTGAATGGCTTATTATACTGCATTTGAGTTCTTGTTTGCTTCTCCATGGAATACAGTGATTTACTGGGTAAATAAACAAGGGACACATTGTGCTGCTTCGACGTGAGCGCTGGTCTGGACACCCGTATAAAGACCGAGTAGCTCCGCCACTGGTTTTAAGGAAACCACCAAAACAAACTGCGAGCACCTGTTTCAGCCAACACTGGTCTTTTTGTTTCGAAGCACTAGGCTCGTATCGTCTAGTTTTGGAAAGGGCTGTCCCCTTCTCAGCCGAGATTAATGTCAGACGTATCAGAGGAGAGTGAGTTAGGAAGCTGCTAACATCAGTAACACGATCCACCTCCTTCACTTGCTGCCTGTCATTTTGCAACGGGCCTGTCCTGTCCTCGCGGCAACACTTTCTCTTTTTATTTTATTTATAAGCTCTTAACTTGCTAAACATACACACAAACACCACTGCAAAAGAACAAAAGAATTGATTAACTTATCAAAGCCTGATTATTTAAAACCACACGCTGTCTGCTCAGCAAACTGTTTACGCGTTTCAGACACTAGGCTAAGCTACGCGCTAGCCTGCTATGCTAACAGGTACCTTGGCTGGCGGGGTCCATGGCGTCGGATTCACAGAGCTGGAACTCCTTTTTTATTAAAAAGTTAAACTCGACTGGTGTGAAATGTGGACAGCAGACTGACACGGGTCGCTTTCCACTCGGTGTGAAGAAACCTTCCTGGCTACAGCAACTGCTCCCACTCAGAGAAAGTCGTCGATAGGAACAGCCAGCTCAGCTTTAACCGCCGCGTCAAGTAACCGGCAGTAAGACAGGAACTTCCGGAGACGACCTTCAGAGTAAAATACCTAATTTACACACCTATATGACATACAATTCAAATTTACCGGAATACCTTAAGGAGAGTACCCTTCTGTATAATTTCTCATATAAATTTACCAAGTTTAAATTAAAAGCTTTACACCTTGAAATATGATTTATTATACAACTACACCAGACTAGGGCTGCTGGGTGGCGCAGTTGGTAGCACTGTTGCCTCGCAGCAAGAAGGTTGCCGTCCGCGTCCCGGTGGGGACCTCCTCTGCGTGGAGGTTGCATGTTCTCCCCGTGCAGTGTGGGTTCTCTCCGGGTTCTCCGGCTTCCTCCCACAAGTTCAAAAACATGTTGAGGTTAATTGGTGATTCTAAATTGTCCGTAGGTGTGAATGTGAGTGTGCTTGGTTATCTGTCTCTTAGTGGAGCCCTGTGATAGACTGGTGACCTGTCCAGGGTGTCTCCTGCCTTCACCCTAAGTCAGCTGGGATAGGCTCCAGCCCCCCCGTGACCCCAGTGAGGATTAAGCGGTGTATAGATAATGGATGGATAGATGGACGATACAATATAATGTATAATCGAAATTTACCACACTAATTTAAATAGTAAGGTTTAGATCCTTCAATATTATATATAGCACAGACCTATCTGACTAATACCAGGCGGCTGTTGCTCAGGTTGTAGAGCGTTGTCCTCCAATTGTAAGGTTGACAGTTCGATCCCCCACGCCTCGAATTGTCCTTGATAGTGCAGTCCATTTACCTGCTGTTTGACTCCCACCACCCACTGGAACACAAGCTGGGAGTAATAAGAACCTTACAACACTGGGCCCAGAATGTGCCTCCCAGGACACCTGGAAAGGAGGAGGAACAAAAGCATATCAAGACAGCACTCAAAACCTGTGGCTACCCAAGCTGGTCTTTCATCAAATCCTCTACAAAACCCAGAGGAGACTGAGAAGAAAAGACCAAGAAATGGAACAACATAGTCATCCCCTATGTTGCAGGAGTTTCTGAAAAGCTCAAGAGGATTTTCAACAAACACAACATTCCAGTACACTTCAAGCCCACCAACACTCTGAGACAGAAACTGGTTTACCCTAAGGACAAGACACTGACTGAGGCATAAACAAAGCAACGTGGTGTATGCAGTCCAGTGCAGCGAGGAATGCTCCACAAGCGCATGGCTCAGCACAGAAGAGCAGCTCCTCAGGACAGGACTCAGCAGTCCACCTGCATCTTAAGGACAAAGGGCACTCATTCGAAGACAACATGTATAGATTTTTGCTAGGGAGGACAGATGGTTTTGGAGAGGGGTGAAATAAGCCATCTATGTCAAACTGGAAAAAACATATATATATATATATATATAGAGAGAGAGAGAGAGAGAGAGAGAGAGAGAGAGAGAGAACACTAAATACAACGGAAGTTGTTTTAACTATGAGGTGACCTGACGTTTTAGAATGGGGCATTTTATTTTTTATGCTTTTATTTTAAAGGGGTCTCCTCCAAACAGGAAATGCTGTATCTGTCTTTGTAGGAAAATGAATCTGACACTTTAATTTCCGGCGTGGTCTAATGACGTCACAGAGACAGCTGTTGTTGAAATATTTTGGTTTGAGATTTTTTTTCCTCTCTCTGAGGGACTTTCAGTTTAGTGTTTTCTGCTTTACTTCCTATTTTTCTGTTTAACTTGTGGAATGTGTGTTTGCACATTAAGCCTGACTTTCCTCCTACAAATTTTCAATGTCAAGCACTTACATTTCTTCATTCTGGTGAATTTTTATACACCAATTCATAATCTATCCAATGACAGGAGCAACTCAGAACCCCAACTCTGAACCACTGTATATACTGTAGGTGTTGTACATCACATTCCTGTTTATATTTCATCCATCGTTCACCCAACTGATGCATATAGGGTGCCAATTACTCTGTATTTATTGTAAATAATTGTATTTTCCACGAAACTTTGGTTCACTTTCAAGATTTTCATATATCAACACATGTCCATAGTAGTTAAACACTAATTTTAACTCTTTAGCACGTTGCTCTTGTTAACATGCATGTAAGTACTCTAAAAACACCGGATTCAAATTCCTTGTATGTGTACACATGTCTTTATCTTTTCTTGCTTTAGGTATTTTATTGCTATAGACATTTATAATTGTAAAACAGAGTTGGTAGATTTCAATTCTCATATATGTCTGCAATTCACAGTTTATACACTTTTAAAGAAAATGTAATTTTGAAGTAACAGTTATGGAAACACTTTATTGTTGCTTTTAATTGTTTATTCTGTTCTTATTGGCTTGTTTTATTTATTTTTATTGTATCGTCTTTTTCGGGGGATTGAACAGAGTAAGAATTTCATTGTGTAGTACAACTACCTGTTTTGCTGTGCATATGACAATAAAACTCTTGAATCTTGAATCTTGAATCTTGGATAACGTTGATTACAGTGACTATATTAATACAAAGTCTTGTCCCAGTAATAAGCAGTAAACCGCATAATCTACTGTAGACTACTGTGATCAATTATACAGTAATTAATTGTTGAAGTAAATTAAAATTTTGCAATTACAACTGTAACGCAATTGTAAAAATATACAGTAAAATATTGGCAACCCCAGCTGCCAATACTTTGTCACAGTGTGTGTACCAGTTTGTGAGTCTTTACAGCCACATCTCGACACAAGCATATTGCAGGAGACCAAAATTGGATTTATTTAGTTTCGTAATACATCAAACAAAACCAGTATCTCTTCTGAGCTGCTCATCACGCACAGATGGCAGCTGGTAAAACACTCTGGAGGGTACTCAAATACATTCATTCAAAAGGCTGCTGTGGTGCACTCTGACATTTAAAAAAATATATCTTGTACCAAAGAGGACACACAGAGACATTTCAAGTAAAGCTAATGCCAAGAAAACAAAAACAAAACAAACAAAAAAAACAATGTAATGCCAAAATCAACAGTAAACACGTGATCGGACCAGATGTGTCTGTCGTCCAGAGCTCGCGGTAAAGTTTTCAAATGTTCCTAATAAGAAAAACACATTTGTCATGACTTATTATAACCACATATATGTCACCAAAACTTCTGATTCTTCTATTACAGAAAAAAATTCCTGTGTCTACTTCGACCGCTGCAGAGAGGCAACAGAGACTTCTGACTTGAATCATCTGCTTCTTTTAAACTAGTATGCCATGTCTGACCACACTGTGAAATGTAAGCGATTAAAACCACACGTTTTGAAAATGATCTAATTTTGCTCTCTTGAAAAGATAAAAAAAAATGCTTTTTTTGTTTTTTAAGCCGTTTTGAACTGTAATTTTTAAAAGAATGTACTGTATTTAAAAAAAAAAAAAAACTGTTTGGTTTATGTTATGTAAATATTTTTTTATTTACTAGGGTCATCTGATTACTGGCCTAATTGATATTCAGCATTTTTGTGATTATGTTTCTGATTATTTTAACGAGTTTCTTGATTTAAAAAACAAAAAAAAAAACAATCTCTGTTAAGGTCTAAAGCGATGCCACAGCGCGATCTGATTAGTTACACATCAACAATAACAGCCAATCAGCAGCGACAGATTAATGCAGAAAAATTTGCCTTCAATAAAACATCAAAAAAAAAAAAAAAAAATCTAAATTTCAACAGTGTCTTGTGGTGAACTTTGTATTATTCTACATTTTGAGACCAAGATTTTAATTTTTACTGTAAATATCAGCTCCAAATCAATAATCAGCCTCTTTGATGATTAATAATCAGTATCAGTCGAGGACTGGTGATCAAAACAGCTGAAAACATGTGATGAAAGCGCACACTGTTTTTGAATTACCTGATTTTGTTCTATTAAAATGATAAAATAATTAAAATATAAACCTTGTCCATATCAGCCAGCCTTACTTACAGTACCAGGATATTGTAAACATTCCACCATGATAACCAAAGGCTTCTTCTTCTTCTTTTCCAACATGTCCCTCTTCTTCTATTGCAATGAATGCAAGCAAAGGCGGCGATCAATACCTTCAGTTCCTCCTCTATTTTTGTTACTATCAGTTACACCTTTCAAATTCTATCTTTGTTACCACACCTGCTGTGAAACACGCCCTCACGTTTTTTAAAAAAAAAATCAAATATATTCTCAATGAGTTCCAGCATCTCTCTCAGGGTGGAATCATATCCAGAGCAGATGTTTTGTCTCCATAATACAATACTGGAAGAGTATTAGGATGAAGCTGCGTTCGTCCATGTTTATTTGTCCGAGATGATTCCTGCTGTGCCAATGCAACAACAAAAGTACGTTTTGACACATGCTCCAGATCAGTGTGGTGCTGAAACTGACTCAGGAGTGAATGAAGTGCATCCTTCTTCATCTCTACAGTGGAACTTTCTCTCCAGATGCTTCCCTCTTCCCTCTACTTCTTGTGGAGGGGGTTTAGCCGGGAGAAGCAGAAACTGGGCCAATGAGGAGCTGAGGATGAAGGAGGAGGAGAAGGAGGAGGAGAGGGGAGGACCGGTGTGAGCAGGACTTCTAGTCTCAGTCTCTGTCTGGAGCAGAGAAGGACACCAAGAGATTTGTGAAAAGTGAGATCAGACTGAAGCCACACCAACAAGTTTCCGTTTTAAAACAGTATTTAAAATTGTATTTATTTATTTTAAAATGCATCTATTTCAGCTTTGATTTCATGCATACTGACACAGCTGAAAAATGGACGTCTCATGTAACTGGACATGCAGCTGCAGGTTGTCGTGCCAAGAAGTGATCACACACTTGTTAAAGCTGTATCGGCCAGTTTATTTATGTCTGCAGCTGCTTCTATGTGGATCAAACAGATATATAAATACACACGACATTATGCATGTGGAGACAGCACGTGTGCTCTCGACTCATAGTGTCACATGATCCATCTTCTCTGTTCTACCTGCAGTGTTTCTCCAAACTGCCAGTGTGTTACAGTTGGACTGTGGAGTTCGTGGAAGCTAAAGGCACAGAAGCTGGCAAGTATTATATATATATATATATATATATATATATATAGAGAGAGAGAGAGAGAGAGAGAGAGAGAGAGAGAGAGAGAACACTAAATACAACGGAAGTTGTTTTAACTATGAGGTGACCTGACGTTTTAGAANGAGGAAACGCATTTAAAAGGAAACCCAAAAGGCTTCATTATATTTTTTTTCTGGGTTTATGTACTTTACAGATTATCAGTAGCTTTAGCTTTCATCACTGCAGCAGTCATGGGGCTTTACAGGAGCATACGAAAAGGCACCACGTTGGTAATAATATGCTTTGGATGGATAGATACATGTATATATGTATATATATGTATATGTGTGTGTGTATATATACATATATATATATATATATGTATATATACACACACACACATATACATATATATGTATATGTATATGTGTATGTATATATATATATATTAGATTTTTTTGAGTATTTGAACCAAACATGAAGAATGCACTGTAAAATGACTTTCATACTCCAAACAGTCACAATCTGTTCAACATGCAAAACTTCTGTTGGTGATGTTAATGGTGGCTGGCTTGAATAAAAATATAATACTGCATAAAGCAAATTTCTATATTATTCATTAAAATCCACAAAAAATGTTAACTGATGCTTAAAATCTGATCAGTGTTTTTTGTCTTTTGTTAAAACTTGAACTGTAATTACAAAGTTTGACCACAACGTGTCAGTAGAGACAAGAATAAAATTAATGCTTAGCAATTTTTTTTGTTATTTATTTGCTTTGTTTGTGTTCATAATAAAAGATTTGCACTGCTTTTAACTTTAAGTACTTACTTCATCTCCTCTTTTTTTTTATTAGTTGGGGTAATTCATATATTTTTGCTTTTTAATGTAAATTGTAATAAATTTAATTCTCTATAGCCAAGCATCCTTCCATCCATTATCTATACAACACTTAATCCTCATTAGGGTCACGGAGGGCTGGAGTCTATCCCAGCTGACTTAGGGCGAAGGCAGGGGACACCCTGGACAGGTCACCAGTCTATCACAGGGCTACAGTTAGAGACAGACTGTTGTTTTAAATGTGCTGTACAAATAACAGTGATGGCAGTGATGTGACTGGTCTCTAAGGATTCATTTAAATTAGTCATGACAAGTCAGATATGCTAGTATGACGTCACGGATTTCTTTTGGTTTACATTTATATTTGCATTGGCATTCTTCTTCTTTTAAACTTTTTATAAAGTAGTAGTAGTACAGCAGTAGTAGTGGCAAAGTTTGCTAAAGAGAAATGTTTTACAGTGCTTAATAGCATTTATATCAGCATGTAGTTGGAATTTTGGATTCTGTTAATGAATGAAAAAGCATCCAGCAGCACTTAGAGGTGTGCATACCTGAGTTGTGCAGCACTGGTGATGGGTTTTCCTCCTGCTGGCATTATGTGCAGATGAAGCAGCCAATGTAAGCCCACACCCTCTGCAGGATTACCAGGAAGGCCAACAGGTAGAAGAGCAGAGTAACAGCCTGCAGAGAGACAGAGGGCCAAATAAAGAAGACGATGGGAGGAGGGCGGTGAATAAAAGAAAAGATTTGGGATGAAAAAAGGAAGACAGAATGACATGGAGAGATGATGCTGCAAGAAAATAAAGAATAACATGGAAAACTTTGGGAAATGAAGGAAGGAAAGAGGGTGTCAAACTTGTCTGTTTTGATCTTTTATAGTTTACAAATGATGACGAGCAGCATGGAATAATACTGGATGTATAAGTATAGTATACGTTTTTACTGTGCTACATCCATCAAACATATCAGTCGATCAGTTGTTCATCAGATATTTAATTAGCAACATAAAAAACAGATTAATATCACAACATCACATAAACAGTTTATTGCTATAACACGACATTTTAATGCTAACATGGCATACAAACTTATCAGGCTACAGCAGTAAAGGTTTAATATTTATGACCATGATGATGTGATAACTAACTGTTCTAACATATATTTGACACTTTCATGTAATAACCTACAGCTTGAATTGTTGGTTTATCATCAGATATTCAACTTTTTGATTGCCATTGAACTACTCATCTGTGCTGTGCTGTTCTTAATCTAAAAACTAAAACTAATTAAGAATATATTCTACATGTCTCATTTAAACATTTGCACCAAATAAATAAATAAACAGCAAAAAGTTTCAAGGACTTTTAGATTGAACTGCAGGCTGTGTTTACACAGAGCAGAATGGAGTTTTGAATTGTAAAAATTAATTTAAAATGTAAGTGTGTCAAATATCGATACTATGTAGAGTCAGCATTTTTCCAGCACTGATAACACATTTTGGCATTTGGAAAAGTTTTGGACATATTGATTCTGTTTTTTCCCCCCAATTTCTGTAAAATATAACATTTAACTTTGGTTTTTAAATCATGATTTATATGATTCACGGTATTATAACTGTGTCACATTGCACACAATAGATTTCTGAGTTCTCCCTACTTCTAGCCATGGTTAGTTTTCTTTCAGTAGAGGTTCAGAACTTCATATTGCAGTGACCAAAGTGTTTTGTAACAACGATGCATGCCATTTCTTCCATATTTGGACAAAAACTAGGAAAGAGGACTGTTTCATGGTCAGACATATCTTACTAAAAGGGGCCAACATGGGATTTGAGCTAACTTTCAGAAGATTTTTAATGCTCTATGTTTTCATCCCTCCTTCCTCCTTTCTGTTCCCATCTCATTCTCCAACACAATAACAAAAAGAAAAAAAACACACAAAAAAAACACATAAAAGCACTGAAGCAGCTGCAGCCAAGTGATTCTTCAAAAAGATAACTAGAGTAAGAAAGTGTGGAGGTGTAGCCACATCAGCAAGTGGGTGAGAGTGCTGGTCGATGATGATGATGATGATGATGATGATGATGATGAGGATGAAGGTAAAACCAGATGGCACTGACCTGAAGAGAGACACATGAGGTTATTTTCTCTTCAGTTTCAGCAATACTTGTTTCCGTATCAGGGTTAAAGCTGTCATGCTTCCTGCTGTTCTCTCCACCTGCATTTTTAACCTCTGTAAACCCTGAACTAGCTGTAAAGAATGCATTATTTGCACCCTCTACATCATCACCTTCCACATCCAAGCTGTCATTTTTTGAACTAATAGCTGCAGCATCCTCCCCTAATTCAGAGATATTGTTCCCCAAAGCCTCACTTCTTTCCTCAAATACTGCATTTGTCTTCTTAGCCTCTCCCAGTGCTCCGTCTTTGAACTCTGTAGCACCTTTAGGAGCTAAAGCATCCTTACTTCTGTCTTTCACCTCCAGATCACTGAGCTCAAAGTTGTCCACTTCTGAAAAACCTCTTTCAACACAAGGATGAGTCTCCTCCAGTGATATGGACGATTTACATCCATCACTGCTCGAGGAACCATCTTCTCCAAGATCAAAACTACCCTCCCCCAAGCTAAAATCCTTATCTACAACCTCTGGTAGGCATACCCAGTCCTGCATGTCCTCATCCTCCTCATGTTCCTCCTCAGTCAAATCAGCTTCTCCTGCTGTTTGCTGAGCTATTGGCACGTTGGGAAGAAATATGAAAGCAGGCATCTTCTGCGGCTGAGATTCAACAAGAAGAGGGTGGGACTGGCTCTGTGAGTGCTGTGAGGGTTGAGATTGAAGTGTGTCAGGCTCAGCATGAAGCTGAGTTGAAAGTGGGAGCTGTTGCAGATGCAGATTGGGGAGGATCTCAGATTCTTGGGGAGGTTGCTCAGGGCCAAACCTGCTCTGTTCCTGGTTCTGAAAATGATACTCAGGCAGAAGCTGTGAATCCTGAATCCACTGAGGTTGGGTTTGGGGTTCTGATATAATTTGAACTTCGCCTTTAGTGCTGACTTCTGGTTTGGCCTCCCCAGAGGAACCTCCAGGCGGTGGTGGTGAGCACATCATCTGTTCTGTTGGGAGGGTTTCTTCAGGAGCAGACTGAGCAGGACTAATCCTGTTCCAGCAGCCTGGTTTGAAAAGGCTGAGGCAAAACGTTGCATCCAATCCCTTCTTCCTCTGCATTTCTTCTGCAGCTTGTCTTTCTCCCCCTTCACACTGATACGTGAAGGAAGGAGTACAGTTAAAAGGCCACACAACAGATTTTAGCACATTAACATCATTGTCATCCTAATTAAACAGCTTTTGGTTTTTGACAGAAGTGTTATTTTATAGCTTTTATTAGTGAAGCTTCTTCGTGGTTACTGGTGATCATAAATGAATTAAAGCTAAACAAAAGACCACAGAAGCCATTGTGATGTGATAACTTTACAGCTAAAAAAAAAAAAAGAATAATTCAACTCCTTAGTGAACCTTTGATCTGAGCTGAATGAAACTGTTCAAATCAATAAAGTGTTTTGTTATTTACACCTTTCTGTTATTAACAATTGGCATTAGCATTGCAGTTAGCCAATGGGTCCAAACTCAGATGGCATTTGTAGATAAATCTTGGCTCAATTTCTTTCTTTTTTTTTGCATCTCTCAGTCACTGTAAATCTTCAAATTATTCAAAATATATACTGCATAGTGGCTTTAAAGTCCCCATATTCTGCACATTTACAGTCTTGTGTTGTTTTTAAAATAATTTTTAGAGTTTGTTTATGTGGTTACATTTTTAAAAACATGTTATTTTACTGCAGCACCCCTTCTCACCATCTGTCTAAAACCTTTCATGTCCTTTTAAGGCCTTCATCCACACCCACAGTCTTTTACAGGCACAGAAAGCAGCTAAAACACACCTATCAAAGAGAATGATACAAAAAGAACAATACTGGCTCTTTATTTCTTGTTTGGTAATGCAACGGCTTCTCAAAGCTGTTTTGAGAGGCTTTACTGCAGTTGTGTTCACTGCCAAATTTGTGTAAGAATACAATAACACTACCACATAATAATAATAGGATAAGGATCATATTTTATTTATCTATTTTAGTTATTGTGAGCTGAGCACATATGTAAGAAATTACTGACTGTAATGTGTTATTTTCAAATTTTTAGTCCTTGTGAGTTGATGTTTAAAGTTCGCTGGAATGAACTAAGACCAGAGTCCATAGAAGGTAAAAAATTTCCAAAGATGTAACCGTCCTAACATAAACAAAATGTTGTTAATGGGCTTCTTGATCCTCTGAATAAAGAGAGGAATGTCAGTTTTGAGATTGAACTGCAGACAAGCATCTGAAAATGTGCTGGAAGAAGATCTGGTTATTTTTTTTACACATTCAACACTTCATACGTTCATATCCAATCAACACTTGCCATCTCAGATAAATGCCACATATGTGTCACTTCCAAATTAACAGGAGAAAATGATGATCTGTACGAGCATGTTCGAGTGTATGTAAAACAACAAATAAGAGTAGATACAAATGATTTTCTTTAAAGCGGTTTTGTACCTGCTGTGTGCTCATTCCCTCCTGGTGTTCGCAGATGTTTCCCTCTTTAACTGGATCAGGAGCTGGACATCTCTCCGCCTCCACTTTCTCCTCCTGCTTCTCTGCTTTATTCTGGCCTGATCGTCCGTCATTTGGGTCATCAGTCTCCAGCTGTGCAACAACTTCGCCTGCAGGCTCAGCAGAGTCCCTTGCCAGTCCTGGATCCAGCTGGATCCTGGCTGGTAAAGTTGGCTCCACTGGTGCAGATGTCACTGTTGGGATTGGCTCTTTAACTGGTTCTATAAAAGATTCCAGGTTCTGCACTGAGGTTTCCTGATACTGTCTTGGCTCTACGCTCTGGATCAAGGGTTCTTTGGGTTCCTCTGGCTCTGGATCCACCGCTGGTTCTTCAGGAACATCCTCCACAGCTTCTTTGAGACAACAAAACAAAAAAAATACTAAATATGCACTTGCATTGTGCTTTATATGATATTCAAAAGCTTGAAGGATTCCTCCCTCTCTGGCTCCATATTGTATAAGGTGTGGTCAAGAGGTTCTGTTCATGTTGTGCACAAGGAGTGTTATTATACGTCTGCAGCATGTGAGAGCAGTCGGGGTGTCTCATGATACCACAAAATCAACACCAGGACCTGTGTCACACATATTTCAGCACAATTTCTCCATGGTTCACCAACAGAGAGCAAACATCACAGTCGGTGTCAGTCAGCAGCTAAATGATCCAACTTTAATGGGAGGATCATCAGTGGTGACCAGGAGAAGGTCTGCAGTTACCACCAAGAGAAGACACGGCAGGTTTCACTGTGGAGCTTCCAAGACGGGAGTAAGGCCATCAGGTGGGAGCACCAGGAGCATGCTCATAGTTTTCTTCAACATTCGCGTGGTTGTGTACTGTGAATTCGTCCCCCAGGATTGGATGGTCAAGGTAGAGTTCTACTGTAAAGTCCAGAGATATCTGAGGCAAGAACATTTGGCACAAATGACCTGAACAATGGCTTGATGGCATCCAGGTACATGTGTTTTTTGCAACAGCAATACAAACATCTCTCTCCACCTGCTCTGTTCACTAGATTTGGCTCTTTGCGACTTGTTCTTTTCCCCAAAATGAAATTCAAGTTGGAGGCTTGCTGTTTTGACACAGTTTAGACTCTGAAATGGCCGTCGCAAGTTACCATACCATTCAATGAGTGTCATCACCACACATCATTCCAATAGGCTCAGCAGACTGTTATCACCTCATTTATTGGCAGTGGAGTCTGTGCTTACAAAGGTTTTGGTTGGAGGTTAGAGAGGTTTTTGGTGGTGTTGTAAGTCAGTGGACTTTCAGGAAGGAGACTTGAGTTTGAGTTCCCCTCTCAGACTATTATTACAGAATGATTTAACTTCCATTTTGACTTCATGTTTTTCACTCTGTATTCACTTGTGTTGTCAGTTTAGTTAGACTTAAACATAAGACCATTGGTTAGGTTTAGAAAGGGTTCACGGTCGGGTTAAATACACCCTGTTACAAAGTTACACATGTTACAAAGCTTCATTCTGTATATTTCTCTCTACCAGAGATTTTACATTCACGTATTCACATGACTGCAAGAGTTCACCCAGTGTGATCAATTCTGCTGATCAAAGGCAGTCAGTTAGAATGGATGGAAACGCCACTTCTGGCCTCCTGGAAAACAGAGGAGGTCCCTCATGTATGGGAATAATTTGTAGCAAAAACAGCCATTTACTGGATTGGTAATGTCTGAATTAGGTGTTGACAATTTTCTATAATGGCTTACGTACACTTCCAAGTGTGGAAGAGCACTGCGAGAGCTGCATGTTGCACAACGAGACTATTTTGACAGGGATGGCGACTGAAATTAGATCAGTTATTTTATTTTTATAGGCGCAGTCTTGGAACTTCTTGATCACACCTCCTATGATGTGAATGTATTTGAATATATGAGTTTTTCTTTTGAGGTGAAGTAATGGAGCATGTAGACGAACTGGCTTATTGGTACAGATCAATAAAACTTGTGTTATATTCTGTGCATTTGACAGGGAAAGGTCTGACTCACTGGCTCTTTATCTACTGCAGCGACCAACTATTTTTGGATTGGACTCAGACCTTAAATCCCAAAACACCCTTAACAGATACAGTTACTTAGTTTGAATTACATCCAAACTCTCGTTTCTGGCAGACACCTTTACAGGTCAAACTTTACAAGCATAGCTAGCATTTTCTGTGGTGTATTTTTTAAAAAGAATATATATATATATTTATATATATATGTATATATATATAAAGTGTTTTTGCAGCCAGGTAAATTTGCATATGATGTTGCAGTGTAGATAAGTACTTTACATTTACATTTTTCTTATTTTAAAATGTAAAATTGTGTTTCTCTTGACTGTGATACTGCTGCAACTCAAGTTCTGAATCAGTAACTCTTAAAAATAAAGTTGTTTCTCCTGCAGTGTTTTCTGATCTCACCTTTGATGAAGTCAATGCTATTCAGAGCTCTCTCCTGTTTGCTGAAGTTAAATCTGTAGAGGCTCAGGTTCTCATAGCCTGGTTTCAGTGTCTCAGATGGACAGGAGGTGGTCGCTGCTACGATTCTGACGTCAGAGAGGACAGGTGGATGGGAAAATGCAAAGAAAGAAATGATTCATTTTAGAATAAAGGCACAGAGCTAAAATCAGTAATATAATATAAATGTATTTTTCCCAATACGTACTTTGTGATCAATCCTCTTGAATTCTGAAAGGAGGATTAAAACAAAAACAGATAATTTAAAAATTACAAGAAATTTCATATATTCAATTTCAACAGTTTTAACAGCATTTAAAAAAAAAATAATGCATTGTAATTTTACAGATTTTCCTTGTCTTGTTATATTATAGATAATAACTCATCATTTTTTACATTTTATATATTTTCTATTTTATCATTTAAATTGAATTTATAATTACAATTATTACTATTTTCTTTATTTTCTTATTTTCTGTACATAATCTGCTGCTAACGTCTTAACACTCACACCGTTAGTGGCAGCAGGCTTGCCACTGCACATAACACCTAATCGCCCAACGGGGATAAATAAAGTTTTTTCTTATTCTGATTCTGATTCTGAAAATCCCAGAAATGAACAATTGTATTGTAAAAATTTATTTTTTCAAATAGTAATTTGTTTGTTTTTACCACAAAATTGCATTAACATATTTATTTTACGAGTACTTGCTGGGAAAAAAAATGCATTTAAAGGAGTGAAAATGATGAATCATTTTTGTGAATGTCATTGTATTTGTTCTTTTACAATGTGTGATCATAAAACTAAATGGATACAAATATTATTTGACAGATATTTGCTGTTATTTTTACTGGTTCTGCAGTTTTTAAACATTATAGGACTCCCTGTTTCTTAACATATGTTTGTATGTCACCCTTTTTTTGGTGGATCTTCAGCGTTTTGTATGATGTACACAGAACCATGGAACACACAGTAGAGGAAAAAATGGACAAAAACAAACTGACAAACTGGGTATTTGGTTAAAAACCTTTGGTACACTGAGCGCTCATGTACTGCTAATTTAGAAGCACTTACACCTGTCAGACTCAGGTGCTGCCCACCTGAACAAAAGCCGCCATGTCCGGCTCCTCCATGCTGCTCGTGGCGCTCTCCACCAGCTTGCTGTTGGCCTCCACACTGTCTCCATAGCAGCGCACCAGAGCCTGGACGTGAGTAGTTTTTTCATCCTGCTCTGAGCTGATTCGCTGTGTCATCACCTTTAGTTCAAGTAAAAATATTAATAATAATGGTAAAAACTTCTTTGTACACTAGAACATTAATGAAGGACTTTCAAGTGTGCCAATGCTACAGTTACCGTCATACTGTTGTTACCATTAGCTTCTGCCAACTGTCTAAATGAGACATGTTGGATGAAGTGATTTTGATGAAACATCAGCGTTTTAAGCTTTGATTTGGTTAATTTCCCGAATCAACTTCATGTCAAAGCAAATCAGAAAGTAAAAAAATCTGGCGATTCTTTTTGTTCTGATAAATTATGTCATTTTTGTAATTTCAGAACGATATGTCTTTTAAACCTGTCTGCAGGTTTGGAGATTCATAGGGTTGAAGGTTTCTTGTTTTTTTAAAAGCCCAACCTATAATTAAAGCATATACCAGAATTTCAGCATCATTCTGGGGCTCAAAATTATGCAAATTTATGTTCTTAGGAAGTGAAAATTATGTTTTTTCTCATTCATGGATCTTGAATTGTTTTGGCAGCAAAAACTAACTGTAGTGTGGGCCTTTCTGCTTTTACAAGCTTGTACAAGCAGAATCTTTAGAAGTTTTTTTTCTATTTACAAATGTCTACCCAGCAGTCAAAGAACTGGGGTTGTCTAATGAAACAGAGATTTAAAGTGATGTACAATGACCACGTAGCAGTGATATTTAACATTATGATGACTAATAATGTTGCTCAGAGGAAACACGTGAAGAAACGAGAACAGGACCTAGAATACTTAATCCAGGACCAGCATGTTCAATATGAAATACCTGTAGCACCAAATAACTGAAGATTGAGCAAAACCAGCCACTGATGATAAAATAGCAATGATGATGCTGACAATAACACTTTGTCTCCAAAAACACACAAAAACATCTTCCTACCACATTTGGTCCATGCACACATGTAAATCCTATATTTACATGCTCATATCTGCTGGTTTTACTGCAAATATTGCCAGCAGATTACAGAACAACTGCCATTACAACTACTGTTGGTTCTGCTGCCAGTATGTCTGCCGAACTGGAAGTGTCCTCACCGAAGCTGCAAAACAGTAAATAGGAGGAGCAATCTCTGACCTTATGTCTCTCCTCCAGGATGGAAAACATGCGGTCGAACTTGTCGCAAACAATTTGTTTCTGAGTACTGCAGTTCTCCTGTGGAGGGTAGAATACAGATTAGTGCACAAAACCAAAGGCATGTTGAGTGTTTTCATACAACACATGAACTAAATGTGATGTGTACGACACTTCACTTTGGCAATCTATGAGAGAAACGGAATCAGGTCTAGTTTTTAGTTGGACAACTTGTAACTATTCTGTCATGCCAGCCGATATCAGCCATGTTTAATACTGTCTGGAGACGAAGACAATGAAAGAAACAGGTGAATGTTCACTATGTCCATGCTGGTGAAATCACACTTATGACTCATTTATTTAACTGTAATGTAATGGGGGATGAATCAGAAAATGGTAACCAAAAGCATATCAAAGAATACTAGGATTTTAGGCTCTATATTTTTTAAACATATAGCTTGTCAGATATTTGCTATCATTCAAACACACACACCTCCACAGTCCTGCAGTTCTTCTCCACCTCATCAATCAGAGCCTGGACTTTGTCGCTGAACACCGCCAGGGAGGTGATTCCTTCACTCAGCTTATCCTGATGAACAAAACGATCAGTTATTTAAACATTGTAGTTCGTTGAGCCATTAAGCACTCAAGTGATGTTGTGCTACCGGTAAGGGCTATAGTGTGGTATTAGTGTAAAAAAGGTCAAATATATTGGACTCAGATGGCAGCTGTTTTGGACAAAAGTTGTGCACGTAAGGGCAGATTGATTGAACAAGCTTTTAGACCACAACAACATATAATCCTTAACCATTTGAACACCAAAACCTGCCAGTAGGTTTTAAAAGGCATTTTATCTTTTTAAAAATGCCAAATTTACATCATTTATCAAACAGAAAAATGAGAGAATCCTTCTCTGTGAGGATTCTCAGTTATCCAGGTCATGGTTATTCTGGTCGATTAATTGTGGCAACTGGAGAAGAAGAGAGAGAATCCTTGGATTTTCAACCTTCTGATGGTCCAGAAATTAAACATGTGTGACCCGTTATTCTACATATCTTGTGTAAAAATGAACCAAGAAAAAACATGATGAATTATTTAGATTCTGCAAAAAAAAAAATACAAAAACTGTGCTCATCACAACCATGAAGCTGTGAGTGACTCAGCAGCAACCAACAGTCTCAAAAGGTTATGTGTAGTGACCACGTAGCAGGGATACTTGACATGGTGATTAATAATGTTGCTCAAAGAGAGCATGTGTAAAGAAAAGAATAGGATCTAGAACACTTCCTTGAGGGACACCAAGCTTAATAATAAATGTCTGGGTGTGTCAACAACAAAAAAAAAACACACCCAGAAATGGCCTGGGATCCAGTGAGCTAAAATGACTTATTGACAACAGAAGGATGTTCACTCTGATAAATCATCTCCTTAAGGTAATTTTTATTTTGTTGTAAGAACAAAGCTTGTACACTGTTCTGATCCTTAAACCATATTATTCCTGACACACGAAGCCATAGAGTGTATAATATACCTTCTGCTGCTGGTAGATGTCTGTCAGAGGAGCCACCTGACAGGTCTGATGAGCCCCGAACACTTTGCATAGAGAACACGTCGGGACCTGACAGGTGACACAGTAGATGTTCACCTTTTCACCCTCGTGGTCTGAACAAGTCACCTGAGCAGCAGGTGGAGGAGGAGGAGGGAGGGGGCTGGAGAGAAGCGCAGAAGAACTCTTTAAAAATGGGAATTTCACATCACAGTTATAATTGTCCTCACTGTCTCTCCTCTCTACCTTGTGGCGATGGTGTTGCTGACTTCCTGCTTGTAGACGTCGATGATGTTCTCCACCAGCAGGTTTCTCTGAAGGCCGTAGACTCCGTGGCGATCCAGCACCACTTCATGTCTGCAGGACGGACAGCGGAAACGGCCACTGTTCAATATCATAGTGGTCCGAGCCTGGAACAGGGATGGCTGGACACAAAAAAGAAAAAAACAACAACGTGTAAACAACATAAATCTTCATAACTGCCTTTCTGGATTACTTGCTTTGCTCCAGTTCAGGGACCAGGAGCACAAGGGGCTCCTGAGCCTGAACCTATGTATAAAGTGACTTCAAATTTGTCTTTGGAAAGTCACAGAAGTTAACCCATCCTTTATCTATACACCACTTAGTCCTAACTAGGGTGGCGGGGGGGTGCTGGAGCCTACCCCAGCTGACTTAGGGTGAAGGCAGGGGACACCCTGGACAGGTCACCAGTCTATCACAGGGCTACACTTAGAGACAGACAACCAAGCACACTCACATTCACACCTAGAGACAATTTAGAATCACCAATTAACCTCAACATGTTTTTGGAGCTTGTCGGACGAAGCCAGAGAACCTGGAGAGAACCCACGCTGCACGGGGAGAACATGCAAACTCCACACAGAAAGATCCCGGTGTCCTCACTGGGACATGAACTGGTGACCTTCTTGCTGTGAGGCAACGGGGCAACCACCGAGCCACCTTGCAGCCCCCACTGCAAACAGATGTAAAACAATAATCGAGAAATATAAAACAATCTGAAAGCCAAAGAAATTACCCCAAAGAAATGTAAAAACAATTCCAAACTGATTTAAAATTACCTTACAGAAACACAAAACCAACTCAAAGACACAAAATGTTCCCAAAGCAATGAAAAGCAATTACAGAGAAATGTAAAACGAGACAGAGAACGATGACAAAAAATACACAAAATAACTACAAAGAGACATTAAATGTCCCCCAAGACATGCAAAACGACCACAAAGAACTCAAAACAGAGCTAAATTGTCCCAAATGACACAAAAACACAATGGCAATCGATGTAAAATGACACCAAAGAGACAGAAAAGATAAAGATGCACAAAACTAATACACGGCTTTGTGTATTTCAGAATGTTTTCAAAGTCATGCAAAACAACTACAAAGACATTGAAAGTGATCCCACAAAGACACAACATTGCCATGGAGACACGAAATGAATGCAAGTAGATGCAAAAACAACATGTTTATAGTCAGTTTGTGGGTTTCCCTCTTGGAAGGAATGGCTTTTTACTTGTTTACCTTTTACTTGTCTGTGCCCACCATCTATCTATGCCTGCCATCACCTAACACTTGCCATTTGCTGTCATATGACCCAGCTGCATGCTGGGAGTTCAATATTTAGCAACAGTATTTTATTCATTTGCTGGAGAATGAGTGAAATCATCCAAATGTGCCCCCTGAGTGAAGTCAGACCTGCTTCAGGACGGGTAACTGGGCAAGACCGAGATGGGGAAATCCCCCACGCTCACCGTCCAGCACACACACACACACACACACACACACACACACACACACACACACACACACACACACACACACACACACACACTAGCCTCTGTTTATCCTTCCAGTCTGCAAATAAAGACTAAATAACACAGAAGATAGTTGGAACATCAGCATGTTGATTTTAAAATGTCATCAAACTTTGCTTATTTAACATTAAGAACTAAAAGTAAATTGCTATGGATGACTGGAAGTCAGGGGAAGACACTGCAGATGAAAGGAGGGACATTTTTTTTACCTCCCCAGTCAATTAGTATATTAAGATAATATTTTTTGTCCCTCTGTAGTTTTGTGTTTAAATATGCAAATTAGTAGTATAAATGTAAAAACATACATTTGCATTAATTTCCAAAACAGAAATCTGAACATTGGATAATATCTGGCTAGATTTGATTACATTTTTTGTTCTAAAATGTTTTTGAGAAAGTTCTGCAGAGATTTAATAATGGTTCTACGTTTGTTTTAGTTCCTAGAATGTTCTTTTCAAAGGTCTAACAGTGTGTGTAAAGATGCATTAATATTTCCAAAACATTTTCTGAATGTTGCATTGAGAACATCCTCCCTTCGTTAACACTGTTTTATGAAAGAACATCCTAAAATGTGTTACTTCAGTAACATCCCCAAAACAGAACATTGCAGGCAAAACATTCTACCGTTGTTAATGTATCACATTATAGAATGTTTTATAAAAGACATTCTCTAATTAGAGGACTTGTCAAAAACACAAAATAAATTCACTTATTTTGGAACAACATTTTCAGCATATAAGAAAAACTCATTTTGAGAGAATGGCCTTAAAAGGTATGTTCTGTTAAATTCCATACATTTTTTTTGGAAATTGCAATTTACAGATTAAATTTGAATTCAGCAAATGTTACCATGAAACTTCCCCAGTTAATAACTTTGATTAAGACAATTATATTTGCATGTTTTCTGAAATGTCATGTTTAAATATGCAAACAATGTATTGTCTATTAAATATATCTATTATTATTGTGCTAATTTGCTGAATGTCCAACTCCTCAGAGTGGTAACAGGCCAGCAGTGCTTTTGAGAACTTTGTGCTTTGAAATACTTTGCTCTGTCTAACGTGTGTTTTCGTCTGCGCTTTTGTGAGAACCTTCCCAACGGATCGTCGCCTCCCCCGCTCAGCTTTGTCAGCCGAACCACAGCCTCTGTCGCCTCGTCTCCCGGCTCCCCCAGGAAACTTCCCCAGGATTTCCCTCACTTACTCGGCTATCCTCACAAGCTTCCTGGTGTCCCCTTGTTCCCTGCTGTTGTTAAATAAATCCTTTGTTTTCATTCCTAAACCTGATGTTGCATTTTTGGATCCTTCCTTAGACTGAACGGTCACAGAAAGTGTAATAAAAGAAACACTTAAATGTGTGTTTTGGATGTTTTCTTTCCACAGATAAAGTGAGATAGATAGATAGATAGATAGATAGATAGATAGACAGATAGACAGATAGACAGATAGATAGATAGATAGATAGATAGATAGATAGATAGATAGATAGATAGATAGATGATCAATACAATAGGACATCCAGGCATCTTTGTCACCTGTACTCTTGTTATCAAACTCATAAGTTTAAAGTCTCATTGAATAACTGGCAGAGATCTGCAGCAGCACAGTGGTGCTTTAATGTCAGACAATAAGACAGAAACAGAAACAGAAAAGCAAGAAAAACCTGCTTAGAGGGGTAACAAAAATACAGACAGACAGACAGACAGGTGAAGAAAAGCACAGATGAGCAGAGAGACCGATGGGAGGTTAAAGGGGAGAAGCTTCCTGAAATAGTGGCCTTTAATAATCCTCAGCTGCTGCTGGGCCTGAAGGAGGGATCAGAGCGGCTTTGACTGGAGCTGGAGGAGACCCCACTGACAGACAGAGACGAGGTTTTCATTCAAACTTTTTTTTTTCATTGGAGGATCAGTATCTTGAGCTCAGTCATGATTCAGGTCAATGAAAAAATCATATCAAAAATGTAGACTTCACCTTCAGCATAATAGTTGGGGTTAGGAGCGCTATGGGAACAGCAAAGTCATGGCGAGAAGCAGCGAGAGCTCAGAAATGTCTTGTGTGCAGCAAAACACAGTTGTAAGACCAGCAATTTTTATTTTTAAAAAGATGAAAGGATTTTACTTTTTTTTTTAAAAAAAGAACTCATTTAATTGTTTAACAATGAAAAATACATTAGACCCACAGGTGTCACCAATGTTGAAAAAAAAGGTCACTCTACAAAATGCGGATATTGTATTACTTGCATTTTAAATTTGTGTCTACTATCTGCTCTGTGGAAACACAGCCTGCAGTTCAGCCAAAAGGTTCCTGAATTTTTTGCTACAGCTGAGTAAATCATGGCTTCAGTTTTCTACAGAATCTGGGTAGATGGTTTATTTATCTGCAATTTTTATTTATTTTTTTGGCCTTTGTGCCTTTATTGGATAGCGTAGTGAGAGAGAGACAGGAAAGTAGGGGAGAAGAATGGGGGGAAGACATGTGGGAAAGGGTCATGACCGGGATTCAAACTCATGACCTCCACATTGGGACTGTAGCCCTGCACATGGGACACCAGCTCAACCAGGTGAGCTATAGCGGCGACCCGATAGGTAATTTATTTTTTTAAATTAGACATGTCGAATAAAGTAATTTTGATGAGATATCATGATTTTAAGCTTAGATTGGGTTGTGTTTCAGACAGGATCACACATCACGGATAAGTAGTCTGAAGTCTGTTGGAAAGTTAAAAATCTGGCTAATTTTTCAGTTTTAACAGTTTGTGGCTTCCACAAATGATTTTATTTTGGTAACTGTTGGGAACAATATCATGCCATTGAAACCCATCAGTGGGTTTTGGGGTTCAGACGTTTTAAAATTAATGAATCAACTAAAACAAAAGCAGCTGAAAGTAAAACAATATGCAATTAATAAAGATAAATCACCCTGAGGATACAAATGAGTCCGGCTTTAAATTGTTCTGCAGGTTACTGCACAGTAAGAGCTCAGTAAAAAGAGTAGGCACCTGTAGACTGATTAGTAAGGATACACCACGTTAAAAGAAAGTGATGAGCTAATGTAAAGGGGTAAATAAACTGGTATGTTAAATAAATATAAGCCAGGGCCTGACATGTCCTTCAGAGAGTGACGGCTGCCCAGTCTTGGCATCCAGCTCACAGTGATGAGTACTGTAATTATCACCTGTAATAAATCTTAATGCAGAGTGATAAACAGCGTCCAAGGGCATCAGAGTCTGCTCTCATGTACAAAACTAAAGTGTTCCTGCCTTTCTACTGTGCAGTGGGAAACAGATTTGTTCTTGTAAAAGAAATTTCAAGATATTTGTTTTTGGTTACAATATCTACAATTTCCTCAGAACAGAAGAAGCAGAAAGCCAGTTGTTTGCTACTGAAGAAAAAAATAAAAAATATAGAGGAAGAAGAAACAAGCAAAACTTTAGCCATCTACAAGAGAACAATGGAGAGAAATAATTAGGAATTGTTTTAAATCTGAAAACATCTTCCATGAAGTGATAAAATCTGCATATTGTATTTCCCCAAAATGCCAATCGACAGAAGTGGGACTTTCTAAATCCTCACGGTCGCATTATCACCAAAAACTTTACCCAACAGCTCAAAATGCACTTGAGCAAGATGTGTGCATTTACCAGAGTCCACTGTGAGACAGGATTAAGTCGTGTTATGGAAAACTTGACCAACACAATACAAAGTGTGGATATCTTAGGTTTCACTCTGACAAGTTACACTTTTAAATGACTGCAAAACACATGGAACCCTCTGAACCCCAAAACAACTTTAAAATGCATGCTATCTTTCTATAAAATCAACAAATTTCCACAATTTATCAGAGCCAGAAACAATAAAAAACAGAACAAATCATTGGATGTTGAGCTTTCAGACAATCCTTCAGTAATCTGAATTCTCTTTACTTGTAAGCATGGTTGTGTTGTTTCCATACAGGTGCAGTATTTTATATTGCAGTTAAAAACAAGCCCACAATGAATTTGTGTTCATATTAAACTACTCGTATACATTTTAATCTGTGGTTATGATCCTGAGACGACTGGAGGAGGTGCTCATGGTTGCAGCTCCGCCTGAAACCAAACTGCTGGTTAGATATTAAGAGTTGAGAAACGTGACAAGCAGGCTGAGCTGTGCTGCAGTCGTGTTTTACTACGAGGCGGCCAGGTAAGGACCAAATGGTTTTTATGGGGATCAGCATGTCTTTTTATTCTATGTATGAGTGGGAGTTTGTTCTGACCTTTGGGTGTCAAAGGTGGAGAACATGATCGGGACATGAGGGCGGAGTCTATCGGGTTTCCATCTCACATGCCACGTACACGTAAAAACACACGACACGTGTAGACGCAGCACTGCATACACAAGTGTGAAGTGTGCCCAGTTGTGCGTGAACGGGTTCATATTTGTTTGTGTTGCTGTCAGACTCCGCACATGAGTCCTGAGGGGATTCCCAGGACTCCAGATTTGGAAATAGCAGTAAAATACAGATGTCAGGGATGCTGAGTTCTGCTGTAACTGTAAGAAACGTCGTTTACATGGTTGTTATTACACTATTAGCGGCATCTTCCACACTTGTCCCCTGGCTAAGTCTGCTGGTACATTGCTGTCACTTTCCCCATGTACATTAAGATTGGCAGCAACAGTTTTCTAGTAATGATGATCATAAAAACATCATGTTAACCCTTTGAACTGTGAAACTGACAAAATGCCCCAAATTACACAATTTAAACTGGAAAAACTGTTGGATTTTTAACTCTCCGACAGCTCTAATTAACTAATGAGTTAAGCTATCTGTGACATGCTGTTCTCTCTGAAAACTGAATAAAATCAAAGCATGACATCTCATCCAAATTAATTAATTCTACGTGTCGTATTTAAAAAGTCAGAACTGTCTGCAAAATACTGAAAACTCTGTGCTCTTAAGTGCAACCGAGAAGCAGAGAGTAACTTAGCAGCAATTGACGATCACATGACAAAATGAATTGGCTGTTTGGCTGAACTGCAGGCTGTGCACAGACAGAGCAGGCAGGAGGCCTGCATGGAGACAAATGAGACATTAAGAGGATCAATACAATAAACACAACAGTATACAGAGAAGCAATTGAAAAATGGTTTACAGAGGCTATAAAAATGTAAGTATGTGTGTTCTGAGTTCTGTTTCTGAATGAAACAGCTGATGTATGTCAGGCCTAAGGGATTTGAAATGTAGTTGGAGTGTGGAGGTGCCAGCCTCTGATTGGTGAATCAGTTGTCGGCCTGCAGGTGATTGGCTCCTGACAGGTGAGAATTTTTTAAAAAAAAGTCAAAATAGTGCTGACTCTGTGTAGGGAAATTACTAATCTACCTCGACAGACCACTGTTACCCCTTTTCCACCAAGAAGAACCAGGTGCTAGTTTGTTGTTGGTGGTAGTTCCAGTGCTTAGTTGGTTCAAATCTCACACCTCCTAAGAACCAGTTGCTTTTCCATTGGCCAGGATTCAAATTAGAGTCACGCCATACGTCACTGCAGACGTAGCTGTTTACGGAAGTCCACACAGAAATCCAGATGTTTTTCACTGGTGCAACCAACCTTCTCATTTGGTTGCACTTCCCACCTTGTCACAGGCAAAGCATATGGCTTGCTGAACATTGTCTTATCGATAGACACTACAGTTTACCAATGTTCCCTGAATGCCCCACACTGCAGGCTGCAGTGCTCAGACAGTTGTGCAACCAAAAATTACTTTAAAAAGAATAAACTAGGGTGTTCTAATGTCAGATTTGTCCAAGATGAAAGCAAGAGGTTTTTTTTGTGTGCGGTCTTTTCTGTGATGGAACAAACAGCATGTAGGTGCGCTCTGTTTTTCATGAGTAGACCGCATTTCTAAGCATAAATACTGCAGTACACCAAAGTGATAAAAGTACTGTTTTCCACCATTGTGGTGCTGCTGGTGGGACACAGCTGTAGTGTACAGATTGTGCAAAACTTCTGTGAGTCATTCCAATACATCTGTGATTGGACCAGGGACGTCCTGGTGAAAAAAGACACAAATTACTGCTCCTGTGTCCCATTCTGTGTTTCCATCGGTCTCATTGGTCATGATAACCCGCACCCAGCCCCTGACATACTTGGTGTTTAGCTCTGGCCCAGCAAAGAGTTGGTGCTTGCTATGCACCAGTTTTGAGTACCTGGAGCCGGTGCTTAGGCGGTGGAAACACAAAGAACTGGTACTAAGTCAGGCTCTGGCTCTGAACTAGCACTGGAACCAGCTCGGTGGAAAAGGAGTAACTGACATCTTGACTCTGTACCTGTAGTTTAAAGATACTGTGGACTTTGTTTGTAGGGATGAAGAGCCATTTCAATCACTGTACTTTCTGTTTAAATTAGCTCAGAAGGTGAGATGTTGTGTTTTGGTAAATATTGTATATTGTAGCTCATTGTAACAAATCTCCCCCCAATATGAACAATACAAATTCACACACACACTCGGAAGAATAGCAGTAAATGTGGGACAGGTGATTTTCATGGAGCCTACATGACTACACCAGGAAAACATCCACACGTCCAAGTTTAGACGCTGATAATCCACCACACACGCACACACATCTGTGTGGGCTTTGTATTGAGCACGTGTGTGTCGTGAACAATGCACACACACACACACACAGAGCTGACACATAAACACACAGCACATGCACATCCATGGTGTGTGTCAGACCTGGTAGAGCTCGTTGGCACACTTCCTGCAGAGGTTGTGCTGGCAGGGCAGGATCACCACCGGCTTGTTGAAGATCTCCAAGCAGATGGGACAGATGAGCTGTTTCTCCAGCGTGGCCAGCGCAGCCTCACGCTCTGCTCCGCCGCTGCTCTGCAGGCAGCTCAGGTCGGCCGACAGAGACATGGTCACCCCCTCCTGCTGCAACTAGAAACCACACGGACGAGTCATATCGAGACTCAGAACGAAACTTCATATCAGTAGTGTTTTTGTGCACAGTGGGTACTAGAAGAGTACAGTGCTGAGCAACCCTAGCCCCTAACACAGGGAGGATCATGTCAAGCTCATGTTGCTTTATTATGCAATTAACCTTCTGAGCTCTGACCAGTTTCAGGGTGTTTTTTGCTGCTGTCACATGTTTACTCACTGTGGGCTCATTTCCCACAGCAAGTTATAATCTTCTAAATCATAAATTAAAAATAAAGTGGAATTTCTTTCACTATTTATTTTACAAAAATCAAAAAACCTGAAATCAACATGTGCAACATTTGTCCGAAAGCCCACAGGAGTAAACAATACTAGGAGAAACTGATAGCACAACATGCCGGTGATATTTAGCGACTTACATTTTTGCAACATTTACAAAATCTGTTTTTCACACCACTGCAAATCAGTTTGAGAACGATATTTCACTGTGCTGAACGTATCTTTTAACAGCTTGCTGACGACTCTCTTCTCTTAATGCTGTTTTTGAACAATGTTGCATTTATTTTATTGCTTCTGTGTTTGATTGTTCTATCGATCTCTCCAGTTTGTTTCCAGACTTCACAGCTGAATCACTCACTCAGGAGATCAGATCTTTTAAAACTGTTCTAAAAATGTGTTTATTTTTATGTTTTTTTTTCTGTTTGTTTGTTTTTTGTTTTTTTTTTACAGTCTGGTGCAAACAGTGTATTTTTGTCACATTTCTGAGGAAGAAATACATTTTGAGCCTAGATTTGAGTCCCATCAGATGCCCATATTCAATTCAATTCAATTCAATTTTATTTTATTTGTATTGCGCATATTTACAACAACAAGTCATCTCATAGCGCTTCACAAAGGCAGAGATAGAAACATCCAACAATCCAAAACTTTTGGATTCCCTATAAGCTTCAGCAGTCATATCATCTGTGATTAATTCAATATCCATCAGAAAGTTGAAAATCTTAAGTTTTGGGGTTCAGAGGGTTAAACATAATAGGCTCGAGACATCATTGTAAGATTAGAAACACAAACAGATGTAAATGAGAGATGAGAACAACTTTACTTACCTTCCTCTGCATCTGCTGATGGCAGCGGGTGAGAGTTCAGTGTGTCAGCTGTGATTTTCTGAATCATGCAGCAAATCCACACAGATCTAGAAGTTTTAGGATGTCAGAACACAGCAGAGAGCCTGAAGAAACCAGGCAGAACTTTATCTCTTGTTGTTCCTCAGGGCCAGATTGTCCAGAGTGAACTTGTGCTAGTTTTAAATGCACAAATTCCCAAATACATAATGAGCTTCAGTGAGCTACGGTGGAATATTTAGATTCGCATGATTTTGCTGACAGTAACACTGAAGTGCTGAGTAAGTTTTTGCATAATCTGCTGACTTGTACAGGGCACAGCAGGTACCACTGTCTGTGTCGGTGCTGGAAATGCCGGACTCACTCCACTGTCAGAGCTTGTTTTAGTCGTGCAAAATCCCAAACGTCCCCACTGATCCAGCAGTTCAAAGAGTCACGTCGAGGTCGATCATTTGATGAAATGGATCTTCACGTCCAACAGGAGCCAGTTTGTGAGCTCTCCTCTTCTGAATCGTTGTCATACAGGACATGAAGGTCGAGTCTCTCTCCTTCACAGGTTTGCCTGTCCAACTCACTCCATTGCTCATTTTTCTCACAAGTAGCTGTGTTTGTTTGTTCACAACTTCTTCACCATCTACAGAAATGTGTGTGACAGAAAGGATGCATGGTGGGACTGGGAGTGTGGGGGGTGGAAGGGGGCTTCAGGTTTCAGCCTCTGAAATGAACACACACACACACACACACACACACCATATGAGGAGGTGGCTGGTATGTGGACGGATTAAGACCATGCCAGGCCGTGCTCTTTCTACTGTTACACTCACACAGGCCTCTTAAAGGTGTTAACTGTAACATTTTCATATCTTCTAATTAAAGCCATCGTCATTTTCAGACACTTTTGTTAACTCAACCTGATTAATTAAGTGAAGGTAACACTTTATCTCTCACTGGCACTGAACAAATCGCTTGTAGATGTTACAAAACAATAAATAGCAGGTAAATTTATTTGGTTTGGTAGATTACAAACTGGTTTCCTTTTTTAAAAAAAAAAAAAAAAAAAAAGAGAATTGGTTTTTACATCAACCCATGTTTATGTTCATGCTCATTATTAAAATCATTAAAGATTTTCCTAATAAAGAATAAGGACACGTGTCACAAATTTGCCTTGTGGTGTTCCACAGGGCACTTTTTAGGTTGTTTTTACACGACCACATTTTTAATAGACACTATCTTTAAAAATATAACATTAATGTTATCTCTAAAACAAAAACAAACAAACAAAAAAATCACTGAATGACACCATTTATCAAAGCCAGAAACTGTAAAAACAAAGAGAATCATTGGATTTAACTTAAATTCCACCAACAGTAGCATGACATTTTGATGTTTCTGGCAGAACTGCAGAGAGGAGACAAGTTTTGAAATTAATCTAAAATATTTTTCATAAAATATCTATGTATGTAGAATCAGTGTTTTTGTCAGTATTGGTAACAAATGTGGCCACTTGGGAAAAAGTTGTATATGTTGATTTGAGTTTTTGTCATCCTGTACAGCTGGTGTGGCAGCTTCTGTGAGATACTGTTTTCAGCTTTTATGAAATTGTAATTATACTTTCATAGTTTAGTGGTAATAAGTAAACAATTGCTCTGTACATATAATGCCATGCACACAGGAAATCCGGACATTTTTGGTTGCTTAATTAATTTTTCTTCTTATCTCTAAAATATTTTGTGGTGTTCCACTGGGCACCTATCTTGGTTCCCTTCTTTTGTTGTTGTATGTGCTTCATTTTTGTGATATTTGCTTAACTGTCATAGCTATGCTGATAAACTTATCTTTTATTTTCAGTGGGTCAGATTTTAAGATGACTATAAGACTTATTTATTTGCTAAATAAAAAGTTTATTCGTTTTGTTGGTTTAAAATTACAGCCATAGGCACATTGTGCGGATTGGTGTGGCCTAAAATAAAGAAGATACTATTTCATATGATCCCTACATTTTGCGAAATGATAAATTTAACATAAATGCAAACTATTCCACTTGGGAATCACAGAAACACAGTGAGAAACAAAGGCTCTGAAGCATCAGAAACATTTATTTTACAACAGTACATCAGATACTTCATTTACCCACACGTCTGCCTGACAGACGCACACATCATCAGTCCATGCTAAAAACAGAAATCCTCTATGTCTCTATGTACTGTGCCACTGCGAGTATATACAGCAGGTCGGCCATTTTGTCACTTCATTGTCAAAATGGTTCACATCTAAAATTCTATACATCCCCTTAACATACCAGCTAGTAGTTAATCAACTGTTAAAAAGATAAGAAAAATAAAATAAATAAAATAATGCTTCAATATTATTATCATCTGGTCGCTATATTCACACTTACATCAGTTCTTGTTATTTATGTAATTGTTTTGGGTTTAACAATGAAAGTTTCTCAACTCCACGTTTATGTATTTCAGGCTTCACGCTGCATTCTCTCAGACACTGTTTGGTCAGAAACAAGAAAAACAAATTCGAGATTTAACAGTGTGGCATGTAAATGATCACATGACAAAAAGCACAAAACTAATCAAGTCGATAGATATTTGGTTGAAACAGTGTAGATGCAGGTTTCAGAAAAACTCATAAAAAAGGCCCTTAAAAGAATATTTTTTTAAGTCCTTTGTTCAAAGTCCAAATTAAAACAGAAACAAACAACATAAAAATCAGACAAAGCTGTCAAACTGTGAATGCATAACCTTAAGTTTAAAAGTCTTTTAAACCAGCCAAGACGTGGATTGCATATTGTACAAACTTTTCTCTGGGTTTGGGAGGGTAAAGAGTTTGATTCGTCTTCTTGGGGCCTCAAACTGAGCTGACATTTTCCTATGAACCTGCAGATTCCCTGACACTTTTGCAAGCTGTGATTGGAAGTCTTGGAGTGAAGGACAGCTGTGGAAGAGAATCAATTAGCTCTTATTGCACTTTCTCATGATATGTATAAATACATAGAGTAGGTGTTTGATTGATGTCTGATCAAAATAAAGAAATCAGCCTGTTTGGTTCAGTGTAGGTGCTTTTTTTGTTGTTTTTTTTTTTTTCTTTTTACAAAAAATGAAACTATTGACACAAACGACCACAATGTTCTTGAATTTTCCTTCTACTGGACTGCTACTCTTGTGTGACAAATAAAGAACTACTAAAAAAGGAAAAAAAACAAAAAAAAGTTCATCCTAACTAGTGTGGTTACTGCAAACTGCTCTCCAGTCGCTATAATGACTCTACAAAACTGTGGCCACGTGAACAAATAAGACTTTGGATAATGATATCCTCTCTTCAATAACAACATGAATCAGAAAAACAAAAACAATGAAAAGCAAATCTAGAGACAGATAGAGGAAAACAAAACAAAACAAAAAAAGTTAGTTAATACAGGGAAATCTAAACTTACACTTTACACGACATGTACAGCATTGTTACTTTCTCACAAAACAAATCGAAAACTAAAAACAAACCAAAAAGGGGCTCAATAAGTGTGTATGTAATGCAAGCGTGTAGTTAATGTAATGTCTCTATTAATAACACTGGACTCTGGCTGTGGCTCCCACAGCTTTCAGTGTGAACCAGGGAGCCAAATCCTGCATATGTGGTAGAAAAAGTGATATGAGGTTGAACATTAAGGGAAAAAAGTAACTAAGAAGAGGAAGAAAGAAGAAGCGAGGAAGAGGAGGAGGACCTGCAGTAAAGCCTTAATTAAGAATTAATTAGTGAGAAACAGATGCAGCAGTTTCAACAACTATATGACTAATTGATGAGGACTGGTGTGTGATTCAGCAGAGAAGCACAACAGATGCAATTAGCATTTGCTGGTCGGCCGGCTGGTGCTGATTTGCAGCTATCTGTCATGATTGCGTGTGCCAAAGCTGGTTCAGATTCAGTCCCAGCAGCTGCAGTGTTTCCAGTGTTCCCACAAGGACCACGTTAGAATCTGAACGCATTTCTGTTTTGTCTGACCTCCCGTGTGGCTAATCGCGGAACATAACATTCCCGGGAAAGCTGACGTGCTACGGGTGACTGCGTGCCACATTTACCAACAATCATTAGCTCAGATCTTGAACTGATTTAATTGTTCTGGCCAGTTTAAAAAAAGAAGTGAGCCAGAGCGGCACCTGTTTAAGTGTGAGCTGCCCCCCTCCACACTGAGCAGGGCTCCTGCGGTAATGTTCAGGAGGGTATTGAGGACAAATAAACACCCCCGTCCCACCCGGTCCTATCAGCTCCTCACTGAACATACAGGATCACTGACCTACTTCCAGCCAGAATAGAGCTGACAGAAGTCTTTCCCAGCAAGCTGAATGGAAAATGTTGATACCAGCAGAAAAAAAAAAAACTTCAGAAACAACAAAATCTGAATTTTTTGTAACCCTCTTAACACTAAATATCATCAACATATTTGAAAAATGGCCAAAATCAAACCATTTATCAGAGTAAGCAACTCTAAAAACAGAAGGAGTCGTTCTATCTGCTTTCCAGAGGAATGGCACAGATTGTGTCATTTGGTAAATAACAGAACCCTCTGAACTTTCCCACTCCGGCTGAACTACGCAAAGCAGTGCTGTCAAGAATAACGATTCAGAAAGCAGATCGTCGAGTCAATCACTTCATTACACCACACTGGATGTCTGCTTGATGTATTAAGAATATTTGGCAGCAATATGGTCGAAGCATACATGCACGCACAGAACACATCATAAACGTTGCGCTACGTGTGAATGGTCTGTGCCAACTGTAGAGCATATAGATCGAAGCATAAACTGTAATGAGTGGGAATTAAGTTTTAATGTATTAGACATCAATCGTACAATTTGCTCCACATGAAAAAAAAAGCATTGCGGTCACTTCTAAATTTAGACGCACTCTTGCCCACTTCTCAAACTCGGTAAATGAAACTTCTAATCAGTTGTTTTTCATCTGCATGTTTGTACATGGTCATTACTGAAACCTTGTCAACACCCTGCTTTGAAACAGTTTGTGTGTCTCTGTTTCATTTGCTGTCTCCTGATATTCTAAGATGAGAGAAAAAAACTGAAATGTTACAGCTTATATTACTGTGTAAAGTACAACTGCAAAGTCTGTCTGAAAAGAAACACACAGGATCTCTTGTGTCTAATTCCACTAATCCAGAGTTGAAACTTTGATTCAATGTTTGTGTTTTTGTCTTTCTCCTCCAGGTTTCGTCCCTCCTTCTTCCCTCATTTTACCTCAGTTCAACAACAACAACAAAAAAAGAGAGACAGAAACATCTGGGTTGAGCTCATTCTAATTGTCATGGTCAGTAGTTTTTGCTTGGCTGTGTTTTTTTTTTGTATGTTTGTTTCTGCATGTAGAGGGTGAACAAAACAGATGAACCATGTTAGAAAATGTGAAAGTGTGCAACATATGCATGAGCCCTGTGATTGTGGTAGAGCCTGTCGTATGTGTGTGCGTGTGTGTGTGTGTGTGTGTGCGTGTGTGTGTGTGTTGCTGTGTGGTTAACTGTAGGTGCGAGCTGTGGAAATGTGTGTCTAGTATGCATCGGTCTTGTAGCTGTGGTGGGCATCAGAGGTGAGCTGGGTGGTTTCTGTGGCTGAAGACGGCTGCATCACGATGGGCTCGCCGCCATCTGGGATCAAAACACACACAAACCATCATTTACAAGACCAATAAGAAGAGACTCCATTTTCATATAAAGCAAAAACTGGACCCGATTTGGCCACCGTCACCTTTGAAGTAAGCATCCTGTGCAGCGATACACTGCTCACTGTACTCGTGCCACATTTGCAACGCTCCCTTGAAGTCCTGTTTTGACCACTTGCAAGTGCACTTTTGTGATTCCACAATGAAACCCTAACTTGTACAGAGAAAACCTTTCAAATGCTGAGTAAATTGACCCAACCTTCATTGTGAGTGACAACAAGGGGGGTTCATAGCTCCAACCCAGAGAGATCAAACACGTGGCACAGATGGCACTTGACATGCTTACAGAACAAGATTTCCAGGAAGCAATCCAAATGTGGCAGAAGCGCTGAGAGCCGAGTATCACTGCACAAGGTGAGTACTTCAAAGGAGATAGTAGGCAAATTTAAATCATAGCTTTTGTTGTACTGTTGACTAACAAATGTCTGGATTACACTTGTGATGACATGAAGTTGAGCATTAAATTTCATGCGAAAAGCTTGTGCTCCCTGAATTATCTTATTATCAAATAATAGCTGCATCACCAATACAAACAGTATTAAACAAAAGGAAACTTACAGTTACGTTAAGTTGATCCCAACTTTAGCCCAGAATAATACACTTAAGTGTGGAAAGATACATATACTTTGATGTTCACTGTGGATGAACTTATTGATTGAACCTAAATATCCTCTTCTCACCTCTTTCATCAGCAGTCATCTGCGCCTCGAGGTCCTCGGGGGAGACATAGAACTCGGGGTCCTGGTCCATGGGCGGCCGTGGTTTACATTTACCGCAGCAACAGTTACAGCAGCAACACAGGCAACAGCAAAAGTAACAACCTGTGGCCAGGCAGCAGAAGACAAACAAGGCCTGTGGAATACAGAAGAGAGAGACACTGAGGGAAACTTTACAACTGACCAAGCAATGAAGGAGACACTTGTCAGAGCAGCTGCAAAAGGAAACAACAAAGGACATCAAATCTTAAATGTATGTATCAGTATACATGTTATATGCTGGAGTTAGAAGCATCCATAGAAATTAATCACTCCCTCTTGGGCCTTTTCATGTTTCAGTGGATTCATTTAAAAAAAAAAATTGACACAAATCTTAAGTTGAGGTGAACACATTTTAAAAAAAACAAAAAAAAACATTAACAGTTAACCTTAGCAATTTTCTTCTTTTGTACACTTTTGTAATTTGGTTTTTAATTTCTACTTTCATGACTACACTGCAGGACCAGTCATAAAGGACAGAATAGCACGAGTATATGTGTTGGCCTCACCACCCCCGTCTGCCCGCCTTACCTTCGCCCACCAGCTGGACAGAACGAAGTAGGTGTTGACGTTCTCCTCTCCGAACTGTTCTGCTACGTAGAGCCCAAGTGAGCCATATTTGTCGTAGATGTTCTTCTTGGTGGTGTCGACCAGGATGGAGTGGGCGTTGTTGATTTCCTTAAACTTTTCAGCTGCTTCTGGGTTGTCCGGGTTTTTATCTGGGTGGAACTTCAATGCCAGTTTCCTGTGAAAAAGAAAGAAGGAATGACGGCTTCAGCTCGTAACTGCATTCAGGCTCTTTCACTGCTAACTGCTGATATATCCAACATACCCAAACCATATAGTCAAGCATGCCATGAAAGTTATTCAGAGTTGTATTTAGATACTTTTAAATAATATCTAAGTACATTTCTCCCATTATTTTACTGTTTATATTTTCCAAAGCAGAAAGACATATTTGTCTGCTTCAAAGTTGCGATTTGGTTGTATGTTACGGGCTCGAAGGGATTTCAATTAACAGAAAGGGGGTCTTGACATAATTACAGACATTTCAAAACATTTATTTTGTAGAAATTAATGCAGTATGAAGTAGAAGATAAGATGTGTGTAAAAAAAATTTTAAAAAATCTAAAACACAATAACTAAAACGTATCTACTGTCATCCTGTGAGGAACATTCAAGCATAATTTGTTTTCAAATGTGCAAGTTTTTACCTTGATGGCGCCATAAACGTCGTATAGAGACAGAGTTAGAAATTTCAATTTCAAACTCAGCCTCAACTGTATTGTTTGGCACTGATACACTGATGTGCACTGATTTATTGTTGTACAAAGCAGTGTGAAAAACACTATGTTTGTAGAGGTTGTGAAAATGTAAATAGGCCAAGTCAAATCACAGTTCTATGTAGCATGTGGCTCACGCTGGATTTTTTTAATTTTTGGAATTTATTTGGTCTTTTTTGATTTATGGCACCATAATGGTGTCATTACAGCCCAAAATACATTTCTGAGCTTTCCCTAACAAGTCACCCAGAAAGTCCTTGGGGTTCAGAGGATTAAATAAGGTCTGAAGAAAGTGGAAAATATTCATTAAAATATGAGCAGGTAGCTGCTTAAATTAACCTATTTCAAAGCAGGATCCACTTGACCCATAAAAAGAACTGGTTACATACCTCTGACTCCCTCTAGTGGTTTATAAAGTATTACTTCTACAGAATGACTTCCTTTCTGTGGGGCTGTTGAAGGAAATGTGTTTGTGTGTGTGCATAATATTAACATCTACCTGTAACATTTCTTGATGTCCTCCGATGTGGCATTCTTGTCGACTCCGAGCACGACGTACAGCGATTCTCCTGATGTGGAGAGAGTTCTCTGTCTCTGATGCTCCATGGCCTCTTTCTCTCGCTCTCTTTCTCTTGTTCCTTCTCCGACTTTCTCCCACACTCACTCAGCTTCGTACCTGTCAGGTAGAAAGGCAAGAAAGGAATAAAGAAGCTGATACGTTAAACAATCATTCCCATATCAAGCCTTTGATCGGCCTGTTGGACTTGGCTTCTTGCTCATAATCTCTCTTACTGATGAAAAACATGTCTTGAGTTGAGTTAAAATTAAAATGATCAGATAATGAAACAATTTCAGTCAGGGCTGGGAGTAATTATTGTGGTTATGAATTAATCTGTCTACTATGACCAGACTTTATACATCATATCAATAATCTCAAAACCTTTTAGATTTATTTTTTAACATCTACAGAACAATTCTTAAGCAATAATAAATATGGGCAAATATGATCCATTTTCTTATGTATTTTTTCCTTGTTCTTCATAATTGCATTATTTTTTTCCTTTATTAGCTGTAGTAAAGTCCGACAAGAAAAGTGTGAGACTTTCAAGCTTAGTTCCAAAAATTATACATTTCTATCTTACTTTTTTTTTTTTTTTTAAATCCATGTAGTTAATCAAAGACAGTCTTAAATGTGTCCTACTTGATATGAAATCTGTCTGACAAGATAGTGACTTATTTGAGTGCTAAAAGTTTGGATGCTTTAAAAAAAAAAAAAAAAAAAATTTATATATGTTTTTTTAAAAACTTGTATTCCTCATTCTATTAAGATTTATTTATGCATTAATCATTATGAAATATAGAATTTTCAAAATTGGCTAAAATATGAAGAGCTTTTCAAAGTCTTCCTTTGTAAATACTGTGGCTACAAATAATCAATAACAACAATTTGCTTTTATGATTATTCAATTAATCATTTGGTGTGCGAATCTCATAAAGACTGACAAGACTTGTGTAAAATACTACAAATTGTCAAATTGGAGAAACCAGACATTTGGCGGTGTTTTTCTCTGATAAACACCTGCAACATTTATAAGTAAAAAAAAAAAAAAAAAGTACTTGGAAAGTCATGTTCTGTCAATTGACTAGTCAATTAAGTCATTTCAGCCCTTATTTAAAATATTTCCCATCTTTCGACCCATCCAGTTCCTAACTGTCACATCAGACCTGTCACCTGTCAGATACTGAATGCCTATGCGGTACAGTAAGTACAACTTTGGGAAGTAAAACTTAGGACCAAATCCTCATTTCACTTTTTGCTAAGCTCCATGTAACGCTGCACTTTCCCACCAAAATGGTGACTGGCTTCTTAGCCAACTTGGTGTTGTGTGGCTTAAGGGTGGGTAGAGGAAGAGAAGGAATAAACAAGATAAAGCAGGGTAACCTGAGTTCACACAGGCAGCCGGGCAGGTACATAAAGCAGAGAGATTTGTTAACAGTGTCCTGAACGAACCTCATGTTTCCAGTAAATCTCCCATCTAGGAACGGCAGAAAACGAGATGGCTACAACAGATATCTGTACGAGAGAGCACATAAAAGTCTGCTAACCAACATGAAAGTTGATGTTGTACTTATGAGCAGGATGATGTGCAGCAGCTACTGTAGTTCACCTGTAACATATTGTGGACTAAAATATAATTTCCAAACAGTTTCCACTTAATCCTATGAACCCCAAACAATTTCTGAGATTCTTTTTGCTACTTTTTGATTACTTATTGTACAACATTTGTCCAAGTGCCCACAGGTGTTACAAATGCTAGAAAAAACATGGCAAAACTATATCCGCTTTGCTGAGAAACAAATGATTTAAATAAGACACGTAGAATAATGACTTGCTCAAAGTAATCATTTGTATTGGATATGGTTTTTACAAAAAACAAAAACACATCAAATAACTAAAAAAAAATCCATGACATAAAAAAAGACATCAGTGCCTTCTCACTCACTGAAAGATCAAGTCTATGAATATGCAAATATTTTTTAATATTAAAGTTTAACAATTGGACAGAAGAGGTCTACTGCATTACTGCAAATCTGTTCTCTTTGTAAATGAAATACAGGCATCAGTTTTCCACACTGCATTTGTTTAGGTTGTCTAACGGGCCAAACCGCTTGCAGGTGCACCATTCATACTCAAGATTTTAGGTTAACAAAAAAAAAAAGTTCTACTTTGAGCAGAAGGATTTGAAAACAGTCTTTGACACTGTGAATATACAACTCTGGGGGTCAAATGGGAGAGGGAGGTTTGAATATACAGTATATATAATGTCAGACAATGCCTCAAATTCAGAGTTCACCTTATGTCACACAGTTTACATCTTTCAGAAACAGGACACCAAATCTCTTCGCTCTGTATTATCCACCCTTCAAACTTGAAATGTTAGAAATGGGAGTCAGTGATGCTGGAATCATTTAAGTGACTTAGGTTAAAGTAGGGCTGCAGTTTCCGGGTGGACTGGATGATGCTCTCATCCGATGAAGTGCTCATTGGTCGTACAACTGACAGTGCTACTTTCATAAGGACAAAAGCACTACACCAGCAGCCTTCCACGGTTATTCCATTTTTGGTGGAACTCACTCAACCTAATGGAGACTGCCAAGTCTAACTTCTTTAATGTTTGCTGAGCATTTACTCTGTCAGCTCCAAACCACAGAGCCCTGATCTAAACATCATGGAGTCAGTCTGGGATTACATAACGGGGCCAATTCTCCAAGATGCTTTAAACAACCTACCAACAACACCTAAATGCTCAAGCAAAACGTGATCACACCAAATATTTACTTGATGAGAAAATGTTTTTTGAAAGAATTCAAATGTTAATTGCAGCCCCTAGAGCACAATAAAACCATCGTGCCAAAGTTCTCACGTCTTTGGATTTGCCCCACATGAGAGAGACTGCTTGGTCTAACATGCAATGTTTCGTGAATGCTTATTTGCAGTCAGCTCCAGAATAACCAACACCATGTCAAAGATTTTGTCATTGACTTTGGCTACACTTTGCAAACAGTAGTTTGTGTATCACAGCTGAACAACCAACATGGCAGATTTTTGTACCGCGATCACCAGTTAATATAATTCTGCTTTATTTCCACAAATACTAGATTTTTATGCCGATTTTGAATTCCGATTTTTGAAGTTGGTTAACCAGTGGTTAAATAAAATCTTTATTCATTCATTGTATTCCTTTGATTGAACCATTGTCTCAAGGTTCAGTGCAATCAGTAACTTACTACCTCGACCAAAGATAAATGTGACTGTTATTCCCTGGTGGCGTTTTCATTTTTCTTCTTTTTTTTTTTTTTTTACTGTCCACAGGTACATAGTTTATATAGTATGGAAAACTGATAACCTCTTTATCGAAACTAAGTAGATCCGTGGCTCTGCTGACACTTAAGTTGTGCGATTTGTGCTAAATCTGGTAAAAACCTGAATTAAAAAAAATGTAAGCCTGTGAAGACTCTAGCATTAGAGAGGGTGCAGTAGGTCATCCAACCCAGCAGAGAAACACTTTGAAAAACAACACTAAATCCACCTGCTGCAGGTTTCTGTACGGCAGGCTTCATGGTAGGCTAATTCAACCAGACCACAGAGAACACAACAGACCCACTGGCAAAGTAATACCAACTGTCCAAAAAAAAAAACTTTAGGCAAAAACTAAGATGTCTGTAAACCACATTAATGTTTTTAGAACAGGTGAAATGGATACCAACCTAAAGTCATATATATATATGAATTTACAGTCCTGAAGGAAATCCTCTTCTTGACCTTTGCGGTGAGCAGTAAGTGAGCTATAACCCTGACAGATAGCAGGTGTACGGGGGTTAGCAGGCTTAGAGACCACAGTAAGCCAATTCAGCTCCGCAGACAGACTGGACCAGACTGCAGGACTTAAATTAACAGGCAAATAAGCTGCACACACTACACCTGCACCTTTCTGGTGAGCGCTATGATTCACAGACTGATAATTACACCAAGAACATATAGCAGTTCCCATCACACAGGCCTGTAAGAGAGATTCACACATATACTAAATAAAAATAAAATACAATTCTTTAAATTAGTGCTGCTATAGCAATTATCAGAAAGTTTTGGGGCACCATGGTGGCTTAGTGCTTAAAATACATGTTTATACACCAGATGTTTTTGTTTTCAAACACTGACTTAGCCTTTTAGACGTATACTTTTGCCACTTACTATTGACAATACTGATACTCCAAATGGTCACATCGCTCGATCAGCTCTTTTGTATCGCTCAGACTGGAAAGATGGTTTTCCCAAGTGTGTATTCAACTGGGGCAGCGAGTGGGAGGAGGTTAAATTTAGCATATTGTCACTGGCTAGTTACCTAAACATAGGGGGATAATCTTAAAGAATATGAGAAAAAGGCACAATGTAGATTAAGACAGACTATGTGGAGCACCCGCCATAAATAAGCCCACCCTACACAAAAACCTACAGGTAACTTTCACCAATGTAGCGGAATATAAGCTACATAAACATAAATGACTAAAATTGAGTTTTACATAAAAATCTGTAACAGCCTATGTGGCACCAGATGGCTAGTATTGCCATGGTAACCCTACAATGCCTCAACATGTCTGACAACACATCAGTTTAACACCCCACTAAATCCCGCCCGCTACAGTGCCTCGGATTAACCAGTCGCAACACAGATTCACCCCCACCTGACTGGGATTAACCAATGAGGGCGATTCATCAGTACTCCAGGGATTATCAACATACTGAGGGACTGTGTTAGGATGTGTGTGTGTATAATAATCACATCCAACCAGTCTAAAGCCTAAACCAAACGACTCTGCCTACCTGGGCCAAGCAGCCAATGACATTCTGTCTTGGTGAATGAGCTGGAAGTCAAATGGGCCATTCACAGGAACAAACAGACTAGAAGGAATTAACACGCAATGTAATGAGGGTGAGAGCATATGGTGTGTCTTAAAGTGGGAGTGTCACATTGTATATGTGCTTTCACACTTGTGTCTCACATTTGCTTACTTTGTTTGCTAAATTTAATCCAGCAGAAGCATTTCACTGAGCATGTAATGCTCCAGCTTGCCCCATTTCACATCCATCTGACAGCCACTGTTGTTTCTCATCTA